GCATTGAAGTTCAAGCAAATGTCAAGTATTAGGCTAAAGAAAAGCTATTTAATTACCACTAAAAGAGCGTGAAAAGCCATTTGGGATGTAGAGAATACCAAATACAGTGTAGGCACCTCCCTGTTCTGGTGCTAATACTTAACAAGGAAATGGACATAATGGTCTGCAGAGTGGGAAACTCATTGAAATACTGTAACTTTTTGCAATACTGTTTTTGTCACATGCTGACAAATAAATAATGCTTGGGATGATGTGAAAAAGTGGTGTGTGGTATATTTATCAGGGTAGAGTATTTTTAAAGCCCCATCTTATCGCATGAACCAACAGTGAGGGACTGAGAGTTGCCAAACAACAACAAAATCTCTAAAGCTTCCTGTTTCCAAATCATCTGTACCCTTATTGCGGCTCTCCAACCATCAAGGTTCAATTTTCTTAATTTCTTCTTCTTTTCCCATTACAGGTCAAGGCAAAGCATGTTCAAAATGCCCCGGCCTCAGCTGAAGAAATAACATTTCCTTTTTCAACATTCCATCTCTGAGCAGCTATGAATGCAACAAACAATGGTCAAGAGAATTCTTGGGTTTCTCTTGACATTGTGCAGTGTGTGGATCTTTGCCACATTTTTTCCTGAACAAATTTGTAAGATGGCAACCACTTTTTCCCTACAAGAGAGACTACTGTGCCATAAGCCCTGTGACAGAGAAGTGTAGTTTGGCTGTACACTCAGTCTATGAAGAGGGTTGCGCTCTACTCGAGAGATTAGGCTTGCCGTCTTTATGCTGTCCATTTTACAGGAAAAACCCCTGATACTCAAGGGGCTCCATAGTGATGTCAATGCATTCTACTGAATTACTGTACAGACCCCAATTACTATACAGACCCCAATCATCTTCACAGTAATTCTTCTGACCCTTAACAGATTTAGAACTCTTTGTTAGATTAAACTGAATTGCAAATAGTGCCTTCTGGATCTACTCCATACCTACTTTAAAGGTTGATACTCTGGAAGAGAAAGCAAATATGAGCCATAATGAAATACTACTGAGCATTTCTGAATAAGGAAGAACGAATTGCCTTACATTTTATCTACAGCACTTTGCAGATTTTGTCTTGTACGTCAGTTCTATCATTGCAATCTAGTCACGTATGTTTTTCTCTTTCCCTCTTCCTCACAATCTCCAATAATTGATTTGCATATTTTGGGCATTTATCCTCTCCCCAATATTATACCAAATAATATTGAACCATGAATTTATTTTGTCAGAAACGTGACACACTCATGAGAATGGGGAAATTCTCACGAGATGAATAGTAATATTTATTAAGAAATCAGTGATAGAAATGAATGCATTTAGATTAATGCAAAATGAAGATGACTCCAATAATGAAAGATGATAGTATAAATCATTTGGAAGAGGAACATCATGAGGATTCTATTCCTTTCAGATTAGTCTTGCCTGACACTCCAGATGTATGACATAATTCCTAGTCAGCATTGGAAATTTGAACTTTAGGGAGGGACTGGATTAGTAGCAGACAATACAGGTAGTCCTTAACTTTTAACAATTCACTTAGTGACCGTTGAAAGTTACAATGGCACTGAAAACATGACTTATGACTTTTCACTTATGACCAATTCAGCATTCCCATGGTTACGTGATCAAAATTCAGACACTTGGCAACTGACTCATATTTATGACAATTGCAGTATCCTGGGGTCATGTGATCACCAATTGTGACCTTCTGACAAGCAAAGTTAATTGGGCAATCAGATCCACTTAACAATTGTGTTACCAATTTAACAACTGCAGTGTTTCACTTAACAATTGTGGCAAGAAAAGTTGTAAAATGGGGCAAATTTCACTTAACACCTGTCTCCCTTAGCAACAGAAATTTTGGACTCAATTGTGGCTGTAAGTCGAGGACTACCTGTAATGTTTTTAATGATTTACAGACCTATTAATTCAAAGTATAGCTCATAAATTAATTGCTGGTCTGAATGTAACATTACAAATATTTTACTTCAAAGTATTAAATATTAGGTATCTTTTGTTACTTGACTTTTTATTGTTCAATTTGCATATAAAACTTTTAAAGAATTTAATTTGTATTTATAATAAAATTTAAATCAGATTCCCAGCACAGTAACAGAAACCTTTTTATGTGCTTTCCACCTTTTGCACTACATTTTTCTTGCTCCAGAAACAGCAATAGGAACATTGTTTTTCCTTCTGCTTCTAAATTAGCTTTTAGAATGTGTAAAGAATGACTTTAAAGCAACAGTAATCAAGGAAAAATGAAAACTTTACATAAAATATAACATTTTCTTATTTCACCCAGATATTGGGGGTGGGGGAGTGGCTCATATTTGCACATTTTCAGAGCAACAAACATGCAGTCATAGTTTAATGTACAGTACACATTCTCACTTTTACTCACTCACTGCTAGGATATCAACACTGACTTTCTCCTAGCAAATTATCCATAACTCCATTTCTTTCTTTTCTAAGGGCTTTATGAAAGCCTACAATATACGGGGAGAAATTCAAGATGATTGTTATGCTATCACTGACAGTAATTGTTCCTAGCAGCCTCTTATTTAAATTATCTTATTTTCATTGATCCTCAGTTTACCAAGAAAGATACTTGAATCTGGTTTTGCTTCTCATTTGAATGAATATAATTATTTTTATTGCGTGTTGCTTGTCTTTCATTTGTAAATTCAAGGAAATTACATTTTTCATGGCTTTTATAGGATTTGAGGTAGGCCTTGGATACTTAGCATTTATAAATTTCTGTTCCCCAAGAATGAGGCCCACAAAACATGCCATCTTGCTGTTAATGGAACTGCAACGTTAAATATTATCATAAATCAAGAACAAATCACCATGAAACCAGTTTTGGACCTTGCTTGAAAACCAGCTGGCTGCCCCTGGCTACTACAGTATAAGAAAGAAATCTGAGATGGTCAGGAAGCTATGTTTTGATGGACTCAAAACATTTTTAATTAATAAAATGAAACTATAATTTTAAATGCTGCTATTAAATATAATTTTGATGTATTTTTGCAATGGTGTGACAAATGCTTATTCAACAGGAATACCTGCCTCAAAATTCGATGGCTGACCAAGCCAGAACATTCACCAAGAGAGCTATTCCATCAAATTAATAACTATAGGCTTACCCAACTAAGATACAATTACTTGTCCTCTTGATATTTTGCACTCACATCCAACTCCCCTCCCATCATATTATGAAAGACAACTTAGGTGAATTCATTATCTCTTAATAATATTTGAATTAAGTCTTAATCTATTCTTCTCTGAACATTCCAGTTGAATAATCTAAAGGCAGGCATATTCCCAGTTTTATAAAAGCTGGGAAGTTAAGATCACAGCTCTTCCACTATGACTCAATAGACAAAGAGAAACTGGTAGCAGTTTGCTTGCTGTAATTTTTCTTCCCAGACGTGATTTGTTTTCTTAGCTGACGTGCTTCCAGGTCAGACTATGAATTATCTACTAGTGTTAGTCCCCATTCACAAGAGATTCAGATTGAATGAACCAAAATACTATAGAACCATGATGGCGAATCTATGGCATATATGCCAGAGGTGGCAGGCAGAGCCCTCCCTGTGGGCATGCGTGGCTTTGCCACCTGCTCTTCTGGTTTTTGGTGTGCAAATGCATGCAGGCCAGCTGGTATTTGTGAGTGCTGGAGATACTCAAGACAGGCATGGCAGAAAGCATCCAGGCAAATCTTAATGTTGCTTACTCTTTCATCCCTACTTCACGAGAACAAACATCCAACCTCTGTTTGAAGTCCAGCACTAGCAAAGAATCCATTTGTTTGCTGAGTAGAAAGAACCTTGCCTCTTTATAATCAAGAGGGGCATTTACAGTAATTCTCAACTCTTAAAAAATAACTTTAAAATGCCTCTGGAATGAGGAAGCTTGGAAGTTTTTGAAGAATGTCACCTATAGAAAGCAAAAGTATGTTTTGTGTTCTTTCATCATCTACACCTCCCTTGTTTGCTTCTAAAGGGAGACTTAAGAGTAGCTCTTGAGTTTCCCTACATGTCTATCTTTTACTCCAGAAAGTGGAAGCTCAGAGCTGGAAAGAAAAATATTTGCTGTACACGAAAAACCCCAGATCGCCAAGGCAATGAAGAACACTCAAGCCTAGTTAATATATACATTAGCTTTCGTTCATGTTTCTCAGATATCAGGGCAGGGTCCTGTGTAACTAGAGAGCCTTTTCCTGCTAAACAATCACTAAGAAAACTTTCCAAGCTGTAGGACGGGCAACAGAATTACAGCATAAACAAACAGTAGACAAAGTACCTGCTCACAGCCATATTTTCAAAATGGATGGAGAACCTATGACCCTTCTTAATTTCTAACATTTCTGAGCCTTAATCAAACTGCTTGGGATTCCAAAGATTTCAGCAATTTTGTGAGGGCTTCAGATTCTCCACCTCTTAACAGTTTTCACATGTATCCCATTGGCTTTTAAATCAAAAGTTGGCAGCAAAGCAGCTGTTAAAACCATTATAAAACAGAGAACTGAAGTAGGATAGCCCTTGCTTTTATTCAACAAGCGACCTCCTTTTTGGATCACATCAGGGAAAATATTCATTTTTAAAATGATCCTGTCAGTTTCGTGAGAATTAAAACAATGCTGTATCACCACCTACACATTGTAAAAATATTCATGGTTAGATCACTTAAGGCAGGGGTGTCCAAACTTGGGAACTTTAAGACTTGTGGACTTCAACTCCCAGAATTCCCCAGCCAGCCTGGCTGAGGAATTCTGGGAGTTGAAGTCCACAAGTCTTAAAGTTCCCAAGTTTGGATACTCCTGACCTAAGGATTCCTCTATTTTTCTTAAATCTATATAGAAAAAGACCCTATCATTATACATGTAGGACATGAAGGATGCCAGAAATTGCAGCATAGCAATGTTTGGAAGACAAAAGGTCTCTATCCCTGATAGAGAGGGCTATTTTTACTTAAATAGAAAAAAGAATGGACTAATAAAACATTGTCAGGAGTTATATTATAATAGCACTTTGTTTCAAGTCATTGAAACATTTTAAAGCAAAGAAGAATTTGCTTAAATATGAAATGCAGCATTAGAAGAATTATACTTTCTTACAAAGAAATATAGCATAAATTATTATAATGAATCTTTTCCACTTCTCTAAAAAGCAAAAAATAAAGGCCCTACAGGGGACAAAGGTGTGCATAGATAAAGACAGTCAAAACAGCGGGACTTCCCCTGCTTAAGTTAAATATTGCTTAAATCTGTGATACACCTGAGGAGTAATTATTTTCAGAGAAACAGCAGCTGATGATTACATTTAGGGAGTTTCAAAAGGATGAAGTAAGGCTGGTAAATGAAACTTTTAGACTTAATATCAAGAATGTTTTCTCTCCTCACAAAATAAGTGTTTAGAGAAATCTTCTCCAACCTGATTTCTTCAGATGCTTTAGACCAGGGCTGTCAAACCGGCAGCCTGGATGTGTCAGGCACTGGCCAAGCCCACACCCGATTTACCGAAGGGGGAAAAAGTCTCACTATGACGCCACTGTGATGACCCGAGTTTGGCACCCCTGCCTTAGACTATAATAATCAACCTCTTATCCACATAACAGCCTTGGAGGAAGACTACTTCTGAGTACAAAAGAACATTGCTACTTCTCAGTGAAAATCATATACAAATAGAGTTGATGAATGCAGACTGGCATGTTATCAATGTCAAACAGTCCCATTCATGAAGGGACAGGAGTACATCAGTAGTAACATTTCAAATTTTACTGAAACAATTATTTTGATATGCAGCTATCCCCAACTGATGTCCTCCAGATGTGCCAAAATACTCTACAATCCAGAATTCTCATTTTGAGAATTATGATCCCGATATATCTGAAAGGTTAGGGAAGAGATGCCTTTATTTACCCTAGTTTAAAGATATAAAATGTTTCCAATCCTTCCTAGAAGCTCTACACTGTTCCAAACAAAGTCATTGACAATACATGATTCTGTGATTTAACTTCCCACTTTAGCTAGATGGAATATAAAGACTGCAGGTCCTGGTTTTGCAGAACCATTTTTAAATACCATGTTGCTTTTTCTAATCCTGAGACAATAAAAAACTATGTTTGGTTTTGAAAGAAGGTTAGATTTTCCTGGGAATCTGCTTTCGGAAGAGACTGATGGTTCCTGGGTGGTGTTGGTGGGGGAAAGGACGAGACCTGTAAGACATGTCCAAAAATTTCATTCTGGGATGTTTCACTTTGTGCCAGTCTGTACAGCAGTGGTTTGAGCAGGGCAATAGTAAGTTGGGACGATCCATCTTGTGCAAAAGGAAATGGGTTGTGCTCTACTGATGCTAGGTGTCGTTGAATAATGCTCAGGACATCAGCAGCACTCATATCTGCCGGGCAGAGCTCCCACAACTTGTCCAAATACGGATCCAGTGCCCGGTGTCGGGAAAACTCCCCCAGGAGATTAATAAAAATCTCTTTGTTTAGCAAAGGGCTCAACAAGGAGAATTTCTCTGCTGTCTCCATCACATGCTGCCATCTCCCACATTGGATAAGAAGTTCCATGGCTTGGAGGATGGCTTTGGGCCTCTGGCTACAGAGCAAGAGCTCAATTTCCATTTCTCCATCTGCTACTGGACATCTAGCACACCTTGGTAGTACAGCCATTGCTCTCTTATACAGAGGCACACTGCCCTCAGGCCCTTCTTTGCTTTTATAAGTCCAAGATACACCCAAATATTGTTGGGAGAGCTCCACAAAGTGAGGCAACCATTTAGGCTTGAACTCGAGAAGTGAAAGACAGACAAGTTCAAAGAAGGGGAATAGCCCATTTGGAGGGCTTTCTTCTTGCTTAGTTGGGCTAGGAGCAGCTCCCCCCAGGATTTTTTTCCATACATCTGGAGTGGCTCTAGCTACCAAAATGCCATCCCCATTCTCTTGTAGCTGGAGATGGTTCTGGATAGCTTTCCAGAAAGCCCCAGGGAAGGCAGTGAATATGACATTCAGGTAGGCCAAGTTCTCTCTGTTCAAGTCCAAGTGTAGAAGGCGGCTAAGTTCTTGCTCCACCAGCGCTTCACCATAGCTCTTGACCTCACTTTCTGAAGCTTGAACCACATGCAACTTGAGGAACTCCAGATCTTGATAGTTCTGCAGTTCTAATTGCATTGTGCCCAAGAGCTTGGTATAAGATTCTGGGAGGGCCCTGAGCTTTTTTCCTTTGGGATCAAGACTATGGCCCAGGATGGAAGACAGTGCAACAGGAGCCTGAAACATGCCCCCCTTCTTCAGTTTCTCCACAGTCAGTTGGGAACTACTGAGACTCCGTCTTTGATAGTATTTGCAGGCTTCTTCAAACACCAACTGAACCAGGTTGGATTCAGACTGGCGGCCTTGATCTGAGTCTGAGAGGTCAAGTGTGTAAATACCATCCTGAGCAAGGAGCTGGATTTCTTCGTCTATGGTAGGAGAGTCCAAAAAGTGTACTCTTTCAGTGCTCAGGGCTTTGTTTTCTATCAGCTCTCTGCTGTTCAAATCCACAAGATAAAGAGTATCCTTCAGCAAGCAAGCCAGGAGGTCCCCAAATACCTTTAGTTGGACCTGCTCTCCTGAAGCCAACATTTCTCCTGCCAAGTCAAAGACAGGTCGCCACACGCCATTAGGTTGGACTCCCTGGATGGTGCCTGTTCGCATGATCAAGAGCAGTTCCCCACAACTGGATAGGGCACAGCTGTGAACAGCCAAATTTTTCATGGATTCCAAGAATCCCACGTAACTCAGCACTAGCTTTTTGAAGTCCATATCGCTGCCTGCAGGCGAGGCCTTTATGGATACACAGGGACCGTGCGGCGCAGCAATAACAATATCAGCCATTTCAGGTCGCCAGATGAGGACAAACTTGGCTATCCTTGGGAAGGTGGCTGGGGTGGGGACAAGGAAGACTCCAGAGGGTTTGGCCAAGACTTGGTAAACAGGGCTATTGTGCAAGATAACCCTGAGAGGGCTCAGCTGGACTCCCTGCTCTCCAACCTGAAGGCCTCGGACACAAATACAATACTGGAAGGCTCTTCTCTCAGGAGTCGGCTGAGCATCCAAAGGAGGCCTCTCTTCACACCACACAAGCTGGTCCCCCAAGCTGCAAATGGAGACAATCCGAGCACGGGCTCCATGGCACAGTTCCAGGCTCTGCAGCAAGTGCCATCCGGCGTTGGGCACAAAGCGCCAGACTTCAGTCCTGCCTTGCTCCCAAATGACAGCCAACACCCAGGGGACAGTGGCAGTAGGGCTCTCCAGAAAAAGCAGCTCCACCACTGGGGGCTGAGGCGGCTTCCAGATCTTCTCCAGGTCTCCTCCATCCAGCCCCAGGCGCTGAAAAGCCACCAGTCGAGGCTGGGAGGCCGGCTGGTTCCACAGGAGAAGCAGATGATGCTTGTCGGGGCTGGTTAGGACGCGGCTGGGAGGTTCCCCGGAACGACGCTGATCCAGCAGCTCCCGCAGCCAGCGGCCTCGAGCATAGTCACTCCAGTCCGAGACCAGCCGAAGTTCCACCGCTCCCTTCATTTCGGGACGTCCCGAGCGGCCGCCAATCACATAGGGCCGGCCGGGCAAAAGTCTGACGAGCTGTACTAGGCCAAACTTCACCGACCCACCGAGGTTATTTTATTCCGGCTTCTTGCAGCGGAGAGAGAAACTTGGCCCTCGCAAGTCTCCCGACCGATTCTTAGCGCTCCTGGATCTGCGTTATTGCGCGCTTCTTTTTCCCTCCTCAGAAAGGCGTATAAGCAATTCCACGCCTTTCCCTCCAGCCTTTAACCCCCATTCGCTTTTCAGTAGCCTCAGCCGCAGCTTTCAAACCCCGCTCTTTCCACGATGCCGCGCCCAGCTCACTATTCCCATGGCCCCTTACGGTTCCGGGCTCCAACTCTCATACGCCGGAAAGTCTGCGTTGCCCTCTTTTCTCTTCTCTCTCGTTCACACGAGCGCGGAATTCCGCTTGAGCTACTCGGGCTCAGAGGGTGCGTCGCTGTTCCTAGGCGCCTTCGCTCTCCCGGAACAGGCCAAACGCCAGGCTCCTCCGGCTCGCTCTAGCCGTTTCTTCCGCAACGAAACACCCAAAGGAATCCGCCAGCCCCTCCGCAACTCAGAAGTAAACCAGCGCCGAATTCCTTATTGCAATCACGAGGCCTTTGGTTTCCGGACTGAGACACTCCCCTCCGGTACTTCGGCACCAAATCCGAACTCCCTGCAGTTCTTCCACTTCCGTCCCTGCCCGATGAGGTTAAAACCTGGCCGCCCCAATTAAGCTGCCTTTTCGTAGCGGAAAGGGGCCGGAGGAAAACGAGAACTCTTTTTGAGTTAAAGGGACGATGCGTCGGTGGGCGGGGAAGCACCGACTGGGCACGTATAGGTTGAGGGGCGCTTTATTGTTAAATCAACAAAAGTATTTAGATCAAAAGGGAAAAAAATAAACCTTCCCCTCAACTAAATCTCCCGAAATCTAGACTCGGAAAATTAGCAATACCATCCCAGATGCAGAAACAAATTACTAGGAAGAAGGAAGATTTGGATTATGTGCAAATTTTGGGATCTGCTGGGGAAAAAATCTTGTTTTCTACTGGCATCTTAAAATGCTGGCCAATGACATTTTATTTCAAAAGTATGCATAGCACTGCTGCTTTAATTGCACTCAAGATTAACAAGTTTTCCTCTTTGTAACAATTGCAGTATATGTGCTTCACTGTAGCGTCTCTTCAAGACAATTAGATGAACAGGAGACCTGCTTTGGCATACAGGTACTCCTCGATTTACAGCAGTTTGTTTATTGACTGTTTGAAGTTAACAACGGCACTGAAAAAAGTGACTTATGACGGTTTTTCACTTACGACCATTGCAGCATCTCCTCGATCATGTGATCAAAATTCAAATGCTTGACAACTGACCCACATTTATGATGATTGCTGGGTCCCAGGCATGTGATCTCCTTTTGCGACCTTCTGACAAGCAAAGTCAATGGAGATTCACTTAACAACTGTGTTCCTAACTTAACAACTGCAGTGATTCACTTAACGATTGTGACAACAAGAGTCATAAAAACTGAACAAATTTCTCACTCAGCAACATAAATTCTTGGGTCAATTGCGGTCGTATGTTGAGGACTGCCTATATGTGCATTTTCAAAAGTAGTACAGGTAGTCAACTTACAACAGTTCATTTATTGACTGCTCAAAGTTGCAACAACACTGAAAAATGTGACATTACTGTTTTTCACAGTAATGGTCATAAGCGTGAAAAATGGTCGTCACTTTTTTCAGCGTCATTGTAACTTTACACTGTGGCTAAACGAACTGTTGTAAGTTGAGGACTACTTATATAGGATTCATCTGCATTCTTCAACTCATTTATTCACTTATTAAGAGCGCTCTGCTGAAATTACCATGTTTTGAGAGACAATGGATGTGCAGACAATTGCTTTGCCATTGTGTGCTGGCTTTATGTTTTGTCCCATGAAAAGGTTTGCTTTTCCCCTCCAATGAAGCATGAGAAATAGAAGGACAAAGCCAATGGGAGGTCAAACAGAAGCACTGGGATTTACTGACTTCTTGTTTTGCTAACCAGCACATAAGTGTCAATGTGCCTGCAAGCAACAAAGCGGGATAAAGATAGCTGGGTATAAAATATCCATACCCAACAATGAAGAATGCATTCAGGCCACAATCTATTTTGGGGTGACTGACCAAATAGATCATAACTGAAACAGGTGGCTCAACTTTTGGATTCTCCGATTTCTCTCCATTTGATGCATTTGTAATCACTCGCCTGAAGAAGAGTTCTGAGAAAAACGAAAACTTCTCTCTTCTGTAAGTAACATTTTGATTTGTCATAATAAAGCCTTTGTCTTATTTGGAGTTTTCCCCCTCCTCCAGATTTACCAATAATTCTGGGGAATTCAGAGCAGAATATTGAGATATGAATTGGGCCATTCCTTCAGTTTACAACAAACAGGAAACCCCATGCTATCAATTTGCCACTCCAAAATTACATGTTGGGTACACCACTAATTGACTACACACTGCTTGGCAGCTCCTAATGAATTTGACCATGTTAAGAATTACTCATTTTGTAAATCTACCACTCAAAAACAGCCCTTTACCACTACTGTACAGTAATGAGATCCGTGAAATAAGGCCAGTTCGTTTCCCACAGGATAAAGGATCAGCTAATTAAAATCCAGATCATAGAATGGCTTAAAATTCCTACAGTGAAGCGCTGCTGAATCGATCTTTTTTGCTTTATCTGGAAGAAATCCCATTGCATTGAGACTACCGGTACATCAATGCCAGGGAAAAAGTGTGTACCGCAATTGCAATTGTTATTCTGCCTTTCCATCTATGCAACCCAAAAGGTACTACCGACTAATTACTCATTTGCACTTATAAGCCCGTAATGTATCTTCCAACAGTTCGTCTCTTCTCCGCAGCCCGCTCCCATTAGAAACTCTCCGGAAAGGGAATTCGCGAAGCGATCATAGGCTAAACCGAGCCGATCGAGGATTATGCGCCTGCGTGATCTGAAGAAGGTGGAGCCAAGGCTCTCTCTCGTCGACGCATGCGCTTTGGCAGGCATCGCCCCGCGCAGGTAACAGATATGATCCTTCCCCACCCCTCAAAATCCGGCCTTCCTTGTGCCTCGGTCGGTGCTCCAGCCACCCTTGCTGAGGAGAGCCAAGCGGGAGGGAAAAGCTGGGGCCAGTTTAGAGACGGCGATGGGATCGAGAAGGATCAGGGCGGAAAGTGTAATGAGGGTGGAGGAGAGGTGGGGGGAAGCGTTGGGGTGCACCTCGGCATTATTTCAGCAAAATGTGGGTCCTTGTGCCATGTTCGCGAGGAAGACAGCCTGTTTTCCTTTCTCAATTTCTGTATATTTAATTGTTAAGAAACTTTTCTGGGACGGAAAGAGGAAAACCTGGATTGTCTTATAGGTGCCATTGATGACACCAGTTTTAATCTGTGCTCCAAACACTGTCATAATGTTTCTTCCCAGCAGTCTTGAACCCCATAAGCTCTAGCCAGGATGATCACTGATCAGAAATTATGGGAGTTGAAGTCCAGGCATATTCATGGATGTCAGGATACTTAATATACCTTCCTCTTTGGGGGGGGGGTGTTATTGTAGGACCCCCTGGGTAACTGGCAGTCAGGTTAATCACATCCCTAATTATTTGAGAGTAACAGCAGCAAAATAATTCTTCCCCCTCTGAATTTTGCTTGAAATGAAAGTTTACTGGATATAACTGAGAATCTAAAAGGACTCTGCTAAGTTCGAATACAGGAATAAAATAAATGCTTGGACCTGAACTCTGTTCGTTCTAAGCCCATGCCTTTCCTAGAGTGCTGCCGTTGATAGAGAATGAGGTTCTCATATAAATAAAATATACATAAGTATAAATACTGCCCACTCCGTTATAAAAGATGAAATATGTTTTGGGGGAATGCAAATCTGGAAGAATGCAAACTATTGCCCAGATACTTTTCTACTCACATTTGCAGAACTGAATAATGTTACTTCTTTCTGTTCCTACATCTTTAAACATAATGTAGACTTTTCTCTCCTAATATAATTTGGAGTGGAGTGTACATATAGTACAAGTCACTTAATGAGGAATCAAAAGCTTTTTATTTATTCTTCAGAAGAAGAAACCAGATATTCTTATCAAAATATAGAATTTATTGTTTGTGATTCCTAATCACTCCATTCCCCCATTATTTATTTTTTTAAGAGTGTGTAGAGTAGACCATATTTCTGCCTAGCAAATCCAGCCACACTGGCAGATTTATGTTTCATACAAATCCATGAAATATGGTTCACTAAAACTTGGTTCAACTAAGGAGAAGTGTGTTACATGAACACATAACATTGCAAGTTGCAAATATGAGGGGAAAATAAGCCAGTGTTCATAATAAATAGAGATTTGAATGCAGTTATATTGCATTTGAAAAACAATGCTACTGAATCACCTTACATTGATTGCAAACTTGCCTGAAATTTGGTTTTATATTTTGATGGGGGTTTGGTTTATATACTATGTTTTAAACTATGGCTTTGATTTTGTATGTTGCATGAAACCAGCCACACGTCTTATACATAGTAACTGTATTTTTAATTAATTTTATTTAAAAAATGTGGTTAAGCAAACCAGGACTTAGTGTGATATAAAATCCTACATTTTAATATAATGGAAATCGGTCAATATAATATTCTAAAGACACAAAACAATTTTACTGCAGGATTGATAATGTAAAATGCGAAAATTTTATATAAGCCATTCTGAAGAACTGAGGAACAGCAGCCATTACAAGTAACACTTGTAAGTATCATAAATAAGATTTGTTTGCATGTATGTGACTGATATGCTGGATGTGAGTCACTATCGGGTTGCTATCAATGTCTACCATTCTTCAAACATAGTTTTGCTTAATCATGCTAGTTTTTTCCATTAACTCTTCACTAGTGTTCTGTACACACACACACACACACACACACACACACACACACACACACACACACAAATTTATATTTCTCTATTTTGAAGACGTAATAAGGATAGGCTGTTGAAATTCCAGATGGAGAAATCTGAGAATTTGAGCTACTGAAGGTTTAGAATGGTTAAGTTTTAAATATTGGTAATTTAAGAGTTGAGTTTTTTAAATCAAACTTTAAGGCAAATTGAATTACAAGAAAGCAACAGCTTTATATGTAATTGTTCCTTTTATTTCCTGTTGATGTAATAGATGCTTCAAAGAGAGTCATGGTGTCATAAACTTTTATTGTGACCTAAGATAATCAAAGACTCAAAAATAGATTTTACTAAAGATAGCTGTGTTACAGTTGAAATTTGTATTGTTGAAAAGTACACCAGTCAGGACTTTTTTAGAGTGGGATGGTGGAAGGGTTTTTTTTGGTTTTACTTAATACTTAATTCAGCAATAACTTCCCTCAGAAGAAAATAATTTGATACTCTGTTTCTGTAGATACACTCATTGTTGTAGATTTTAGGATGAGACATAAATGCTCTTTGCTCCCTTTTATTACTGGGGAGTGGCTTTATGACTTATTTTGAGATACTTCTTTGACATATTGCTCATGTTAATTGCTTTTTAGTTTCTTCCAGTTATAAAGGTAGTCCTTGACTTAATGACCAGTTGCTTAGTGACTGCTCAAAGTTATGACAGATCCTCCCTCCACAAACCCCCCCCCCCCTTACGTATGTCCAGGTTTTGACATTATGGCTGCTACAGTGTCCCTACAGTTGTATGAACAAAATTCAAATGCTTACAACCAACTGAAGATATGCTGCAGTGCTTCCCATGACTCCCCCTCCCCCCAATCCTGCTCTGCTGGGTCTCTAGAGATTGTATAGAGGAAGATATCCTCTGACCTTCCTGCAGGCCATATAACTCCATCCTGGAAGTGGGTGCCATTTTGGAGTAGCTGGAATTTATTGAGGCTGTTTGCAACTTGGTGCCTTCTTCTGGGCAGAATTGTTGGGCCTCCGCAGTGTATGAAAGCTGCACAGTGCAGCAGGCGCTTCCAGAAGGAGATCTAGAATAAAAGGCAAATGGCCAATCAAGGATGGGGCTGTGTGAGGAGGAAGGAATGGGACCCAGTGGGATGGAAAGCAGACCCAAGGCCTGTAAAACCAGCAAGTTTAATAACTAGAAAGTAATGATAGTATGTGAAATGACTAACCTGCCTGAAGTCATCCAATATATAATATAACAGTATGCTTTTATTGCATATTCCATTTCTGAGTTTTGCAGAAAATAAATCTCTGGGTGATGGTCTGAAATGGATTTCAGCCCCGCTGAGAATTCTACCAAATAGGATTGTTGTACTATTTATTCTTTTTTAAAAGTAACTTTGCATCTTTAGTTGCAGAATTAATTGTTAAAGTTTATAGGCACTTTAGCATACTTTGTAATATCTAGGTTGTTCAATATATTATATATAGTAACTGGAGATAATCGCTTGCCCTTCTGCTTTATTGCTACATTAACACAGGTGATTGGATGGGAGTTATGATAGAAAATCCAAGGAAGGGGAATCAGTTTTAGCATTGGGTGAATTGGGGTATTCTGAGCCACTTGCTTTATTATCTTTTATGCACTAAAGTACATCTTGTTTTTTCACTGGAAACACTGAGTAGTTCCCAAATAAGCTTTACGTGTTAACTGTAGTTTGTCACAATATGCATATCTGAAAAAGTGGACAAAATTGGCTCTGTGCATGTGTAGGATCTTTACATTGTCCAAGATATACCTATGTGCTGGCTTATGGGCAATAATTTATATGTAATGGAGTTGAAGATACAATGCAAAGTTTTATTTATATTGAACAACTTTTCAAATGCATGTGCATTACTAAGAACCCTACAGAATATTTACAGCCATAAATTCATAATGTTAAAACAATATATGAAATTTGTTTATGGTGAAAAACTTTTATCAAGTAAATAAAATGCTTAAAAATTATTCATTGGTTAGTACAAGATGGCAAAAGAGAGACTACCTGAATTACATTGGATGGACAATTCTACAGTTTGGTTATTCCAGTTAGAATAGACCTTCTTCTTATTCTACCCTATCAGGTCACTACCACGGAGAAGTCAAAGAGCATTCTATTAAATCCTAGAAATTGGATAGCTGATATGGAAAGAAGAGTTCTATCCAAATGTGGATTAAATTAATTTTCCTGTAGGTTGGACATATATCTAACCTAGAATGTAGGCTAGTCATCCAAATGACCTCTACCGGCTGTCATTTGGGAAAGGCATTAAGCTTGGCTTTTTCTTAGGGACAGATGTGGCTGTTTGGAGGCTCTTCCCTTTTCCAATGAGGTGTCTGTTTGATAGCATTTTATTGCTCCTTGGTGTGTCACAAAGTTATTGTTACTCTTGTTTTAACCTTCTTTAAGCATGATGGCTCGTTACCGATGGTATTGATTTGAGTAGCTTATAAACCCAGTTAAATAAAACAAGATAAAATTAAAATATCTGTTTTTTACTTAGCATGATGAGTGATTATTAACCCATTAGGACTCAGCCTTATTTGGAGACCACTACAATGTGATGATTCTTATGTACATTTCACGATTTCATTTGTGAAATGAAAAATAAAATGAGCTACAGTTGTTCTCTGAACTACATTGGTGGGTAGTTGAGCTTTCATGCGATTTTCTTTTAAGCCATGCAAATGCTTCACACAAACTTGTTTCCTGCGGAAAAAATGCACACACTTCCCTCGTGATTCTTCATTACAAGTGAAATAACTCTTACACTGTATAACAAGTGTCAACATTAAGTACTCTATGTCTACCTTTTTGGATCTGTAAAACATATGTACTGTATTTTAGTGAGTTTTTGTTCTATGTACCTTGCACTCCAGGTAGGAAACATACAGTACGTCTGAAGTAGGCTAAGATCTATCATACTTCCTTTTTTCCTTCTGTTTAATCATGTCCAAATCTTGGAGACTGCCTGGAAAAGTCTCTGCAGGTTTCTTGGAAAGGTTTTTCAGAAGTGGTTTGCGGTTGTCTCCTTCCTGAGAAAAAGTGACTGGCTCAAGGCCACCCAGCTGGCTTTGTGTTTAAAGTGGAACTAGAACTCCTGACTTCCCAATTTCTAGCCTGATGCACTAGCCACTGCACCAAACTGATTGTCATGATAGTTCTTACTGTATTATATAGTAAGTATAGTATGGATTTTGATAAAGGAGAATATTTGTAACTTAGGGTTGAAATAAGAGCCCATATGGCGCAGTGGTTAGAGTGCAGTACTGCAGGCCACTTCAGCTGACTGCTATCTGCAGTTCAGCAGTTCAAATCTCACCGGCTCAAGGTTGACTCAGCCTTCCATCCTTCCGAGGTGGGTGAAATGAGGACCCAGACTGTGGGAGCAATATGCTGACTCTGTAAATCGCTTAGAGAGGGCTGAAAGCATTATGAAGCGGTATATAAGTCTAACTGCTATTGCTATTGCTAAATGAGGGTTGTTGGAGCTTTTTGAGCTTGGTTGTTTTCTTGCAGACATTTCATTACCTACACTGGGTAGCATCATCAATGCTAGGGATGCTAGCTAGTTTCAGTAACTATCTAGCTAACACTAGCACTGCTGATGTTACCTAGTTTGGGTAATGAAACATCTGCAAGAAAACAACCAAGCTCAGAGACCACCAAAGACCCTTCACAGTAGTGGTTGCTTCTGAGAAATTTTAAAAATTAGAAGAAATAAGAAAGAAGTAACTGTTGTGGAAATTTTCTTAGGATCGATTTCTCTGATGTCTACCGTTTCTTTCAATCCACAGGTGGTAAGCCATGGCACAATCTGAGAAAAAAGGTGGATTACTTCGGAAATCTTCATCTAGTAAGAAACCCCTGAAAGAGAAGGTTGTGTTAATGTATGATGAGATCTTCACAGTAAGCACTGGATTTATTTTTCTTTTATCATAACAGAGTTTGGTATTCTAGTATTATAATGTCTTGTAGTATGATTGAGAAGGAAGACTAATGTTCCGTAATCAAACAATATCTTGGCATGTTTTAACTTTAATGGGCAGACTGTTAATAATATCATGTAAAACTAAACTTGTTATCTTCAGGTTATAGCCATCACTGTAACAGTGATCCCATTTCCTTTCAGACAGAAGATCCCAGTAAATACAACCCTCGGTTTTGGGAGGAGCTCTTCCTCATGAAGGTAATATAGATTGAAAAAAATTCTTTATGTTTATTCTTACAATTATCAATTTCCAGTTTTTCTTTCCCTTAGTAATTCCACCATCAGCTTAAGCTCTACTTCTTGCCTGTCAGGTGAATTTGGAATATCTGGAAGGAAAGCTAGAATCTCTGGATGGTGAAGAGTTAATGAAGATAAAAGATAACATTAATTGCTTATTCCAACGTTGCATCTGGGCATTAGGAGAAGAGCATCCAATCAGAGTGGTCAACGCGTTACAGGTGCCATGAATTTCCCTTGGCTTTCATTAAACAAAACTTATGAACTAATAATCAGTTATGCTAGTGCTAATGAAGGAATTAGTCTGCATTATTGTGGTCAATAAAATATCTTTTGGTTCAGTATGCTGAATCAGGCAGCCCTTCTTAATTACTTTAACATCTTTGGCAATGATAACATATTTTCCTTTTTTATTGTTAAATGATTCAGGAGAGCTTGATATGTTATACATTTTGATAAAATATCAGAAAGAAAGAGGTGAAGCCAGTGAAATTATTCTGCAAATGTCATAGTTTCCCTTAGTGAGATATTTCCTGTCTGCCTTTGGAGGTCTGTTTTTTTTTTTTTTGCTTGTTGGTGGAAAAGAGAAAGTACAAATGAACCTCTGGTCACATGCTATTGGATTTATGATATTGAAATTCACTCTAAGCGATCTAGGGCAGGGCTGTCAAACTTGTGGCCCATGGGCCGAATGTGTCACGTGCTGATCATGCCCATGCCCGGTTTAGCGGGCGGGGGGGAGTCACGATAAGTCACGTGACACGAGTTTGACACCTCTGATGTAGGGTATCATACTTTTAAAAACCCAAATGCCATAAATTTAAATTTCTACATCGGTGATGGCAGTTTTCGCTGCCCAGGAGGCTTTGTCTCACAATGCCTGCATGCGTGAGTTTGTGTTTTCTGCTGCAGACACTATGTGCTCTGATCCGTGGGGTTCATCAGAAGAACAAATCCACATCTGGCTTTGACATCATCAATATGCTAATGGGCTTTGACAAAGCTGAATTGTGCATGAAGGTGAGAGCTTGCTATATTGAAATAACGGGTTTTATTTTCATTCTAATAACATGTATGTTACGTGGACTTGTGAATTAGTCACATGATGATAGGAAGGCATGGATTTTGGGGAAGGAAAAGCCCACTGTGGCCTGAGGCTATTCTTCCTTCACTGTTCAATACTGCATTTCTCCTACTACCGCAGAAGCAGGAGTGGGATGGAAGGAGGCATTGTTTCTGGTATGTTCCTGCACACACAGAAAAAAGTTCCTTTTCCTGTCACCCAGAACTCAAAAGTTTTTTTTCTAGCCCCCAGTCCTCAGAGACTAAATTTTCTTAGCAGAGAAAAGCAGTCTCACTTGGAGAAGAAAGTTGGCTTTATTTGATTTTCAGGCTAGATTTTCCTCATCCTTAACTTAAGTTGTGTTGTGCTGTTCAAAAATAGACATACATTCAGTTGGCAGAGTAGCTTGCGCATAGAATAACATGCTTCTTTCTCTTCCTAGGTTCCTGATAGCTCCTAGTCTAGATACTGACAAAATGTATTTGGGCTGTATCAAGGAAATAACAGAAAATTACAGCATGATAATAAGTAGCTTCTTTAATGATATATCAATACCACAGTGTAGCATATAGTTAGGTTCTTTAAACACAAAATAAATAATGAAATAAGTATATCAGCTTGATTTAATTATTTACCATCTATTGCATAAAATATTGTACATAAAATAACCACAAAAAGGGATTCAGTACATCATAGAAGCACAGCAGTAGTGAAGGTTAAAAGCAACTTGAGCTTGAAACAAATTACCGGTATAATAACTTTTCTCTTTTCTAGAATCTGATGGAGAGTTTGGATGCATTACTTTGCGCAGAAGGCTCTGAAAGTCTCAAAAGTTTGTGCCTGAAACTTTTGCTTTGTTTGGTAACTGTAAGTAATATATAATGATTGGTTAACTCTAGAAAAGTATTTATTATGAAAATATGGAAACTATTATACTATTATAAGCTATTGCGATATTGTGGTAATCAGGACAATATAGCAAGTTTTAAAAATAAATAAAATAATATATTTAACTTGCATCCTGCCAAATTCTTAGTGACTTTGGGCACTTAATATTACAGCCTTCTAAATTAAGATTTTTTTTAATCTAACTATGGAATTAGATATATTAATTAATATATTAGAGGGTCCCTTTTTTGCTTCAGTTATAAAGGTGATTCCTTATATAGACCCCACTTTAATGTGTTTAAATGAATGCATACAATATGAACTGAACACCCAACTTTGGTCATCCAACCCAAAAAGAAAATGGAAACAATTATGAAGAAAAAGAAGTGGGGGATAACTAAAGTGAACTAAAGCTAATGGAAATATAGGAAGTACAGCTTCATTGTTATTAGACAGCATTAATGTGGTTTCAGCTCAATTGAATAAACTTTAGCATTTCCTTTGCTCATTGTTCAATAGTAGAAGAACTCTGCTGGCTTTATTTCCAGTGTTAAGAATTGATCTCACTATTATCAAAGAAATGTTTCAGAGTTTGCTATTTAGAAAACATTAATAAGACTTAAGCCTGCAACAAATCATCAAGGAAAATTGTACCATGAAGGCAAAGTAAGCTTTCTACTAAACGACATATTTATCTGTATGGTGTTTAATGTGCCCCAAATCCATAATCTTGGGATAGCAATATATATGTATGAAACACTTAATGTAAAGAACTCTTTACAGGAGAGTTTAATAAAATATACAATTGAGAGATCTCCCCCCCCCCCCGTTAATCTTAATATGCACAGATTTATTGCTAGCAAATGATAAGAGCGTGTTTGAATTATTTTGGAACTAAAATTCCCAATTTCTTTGATTTTACTCAGGTGACAGATAATATCAGTCAGAACACAATTCTGGAGTACGTGATGATTAATAGTATTTTTGAAGCTATCTTACAGGTAAATCAGCATTTTCCCCTCTACCTCTGGGTGCTAATCTGTGATAAAACATTTCTGTACATTGTGAGTAACCCATGGACGACATGCCTTTTTGGCTGCTTTGTTCTGCCTTCATTTGGGTAGGCATAGTAGGAAACTAGAATAGAAGTCTTAGGAGTAAGAAGGACAAGGCTTCTCTTCTGCAGCACCCCTGTAATATATATGACTTTGTGGCTATGTTTCTATGAAGACCTTAGGACTGAAGTGGTTGCCAACACACTTGCTGTAACCATACATAGACTTTACCTTCATGTTGCTTAAATGCAAATGTGGGATAATTGAAAGCAATGAGGTAAAAGCAATTTTCATATTGATAGGTTTTAAGAGCTCTTCATCTGATTTATTTAATAACTTGGTGCAAGAGGAATCACACAGGATATTGAATCTAATTTCCATTGGATGGGGCATCTAGGACTATACCCATTTGTTTATTTCCTCAAAACTGCTCATTATTTTTCATGCAAGAATTTAGTTTCAGTTTGTGATTTCTACAGGAACGAAGAAAATTTAGTTTTACTCCAAGCTTACAAAATTCATTTTGGGCATAGGAAATTTTCAGCTCATCATGCTACCTGTTTTTTGAAATCTCCCATCCATAGCTCCTTGAAATACATTGTTTTGATTAATCAAAGCTTTGCATGCTTATTTTTAGATCCTTTCCAATCTTCCCAGTCGCAGGGAACATGGTTATGAGGTCGTGGTCCTGCTGGCATTATTAGTGAACTACAGAAAGTATGAGGTGAGTGCTTGACATAGGATTGATCTGGTAAAGTTGTAAAAAAAAAAAAAAACTCTGGACAAATATTCTCTCTTTCCCTCAATGGAAAGGACTCTTGTTCTTAGTAACACACTGTTCCTTCATGTTCACATGAGGACTATTTCCAGCAATAGTTTTACCTATTAGAAGCATACTAAATGTCTTTGAAGCTCAGTGTGAAAAATAGCCTAAGCTCTTTCTTCCAGATTGGAGGTGATACTGGATTGGAGGTCGTTACATTTCCTTGTTTCTTGAAAATATGTTATTACTGCAGAGTGGTCTCTTTCCTTTCTGGGATTGCCATTTGCTTGTTTTGAGTATGTTTCAGAACAACACTAACAACATTGTATAGCAAAACGTAACTGGAGGGAAGAATCATTCCCATCATTGTGATGTTTCACAAATATGAGCAATCATGCAAGTTATAATGGGAAATGAATCTACTCCTTTCCATAGATTAAAAGTTGGCAAACAAGATTGCTTCATTCAATTGATGGTGATAAAATATAGTCCCAAGGAGAACTGAGGACCTGTATCCTGGTTTTAAGCAAAGTGGTTGTGCTATCATGTTAAAAAAATAGGAGATATGCTGCCAACTATATTTTCTATATGTTTAAAAATATTTTATAATAGACATTGTGTGGGTCAGCCTTTGAAAATAATGTTCAAACTGTAGTTGGTTCAGAATGCAATGGTCAGTTGCCAATGAAACAAACAGGTGTAGCAATATAATTCAAGTGCTTTGGTTACCCTATTTGTTTCCAAGCCCAGTGTAAAGTGATGGTATTAATCTAGAAAGTTCTACATGGCTGAATCTCTGTGGATTTATAAAGTAATCTTTCAGAGAAGTAGATATGGTTTTCTCTGTGTTTTGACTGAGAGCAGATGGGGAAATTAAAAGATAGGGTCCTGTGGGAAGCCCTGCCACTCTGTGGAACAACAGACTCCAACAACAAAAACAAGCTTAAAGCCCCCAACCTCTTAGCGGCAAAGATTCCTTTTTCAGCTGGCATTTGATAGATGACAGGGGATACTACCTGGCTTACATTGATTTTGATTTATGTGACTTGGTTTGGCTGTTGTTTGTTCATCTGAAGTTATTGTACTACATACATTTTTAGCAAATTTTGAAAGTGAGCAGCAGAGGATTAAATAAAACATACGAAACTTTTTTTATAAAATAAGTATTTTATTAAGTAGATAGAAGTTTCTTTTCTCCTTTAGAAACAAATTTTAATCTGGAAATAAGTTTTTTGGTCTTTCTAAAGGAAAGGTTTATTTGAGATTCTGTTATTCTTAAACTATTCCCCGCCCTTCTGTTTAGTTTTCAGGTGGCATATAATATTTTGATAATGTTCAGCTTTTGATGAATTTCTAGGGCATGAGTTTCATTGTTTTCTAAAAGTTGCTGAAATCTATAATTTTCTGATTGAAGAAGCAAAGTCTATCAAACTTCTTTAATTTCTGTGGTTCCTTTGGGATAGTAATGCTATCTCTAGTCAGCACAAAATGCATAAAAGGGAAATAAGCATAAAATATGAATGAACTTTTGGCAAATTTGGCATCTTTAATAACTCTTATTTTTTGCTTTGCTTTGAAGCTGAAATAATTTTCAGATGGTATATATAATGCTAGATAGAGACATTTTTTAAAAAAAATAGATATTTCTTTTAATCAGGCATGGGAAACATTCTTATCATATCTAGAATTCTGTAATTGTTGTGTGCATCTTGTTTGCAACAATGAAAAACTTTTCTTGCTGATCATATGTGTAAATAAGTGTGTATGCATTTTTATTTCCTTTCTTGAATCCTCTTAATTTGATTGCTACTGTTGCTAATCATACTGTTTTCTCCAGAATCTTGAAAGTGGTTAAGTTGTTCCATTAGGTTAAAAAAGTAATTTCATTGAATATAATTTATACTTTATGTTGTTAGTGTTTTATTTTCTATAACCTTTTAGACATATTTCATATTTAATGAAACAGCTGCTCTGGGGTTTATTATTGATCCAGCTGGTCCTTTCAGTTTTTACTACCAGATCATTTTGATTTATAGAAATTGTCCAAACTAGTACACAATTTCAGTTTATTGTCAGCCTGAGAGCTTTGCTGCTACCACCAAAGGCCACCTTTATAACTATTTGACTTTGTTGACCATAAAGAGGCAACTTCATATATGACGGGCATTCCTTGTTATTGATTTCACATTTTTTTTTTGGCTCAGAAGTCTTTGTTACTCAGTTGTGAACATCAGGCTTCTGAAATACTAGTTCAATACAATAATTAGTCATAAACTAAGAAATGGCTTTTATTACTTTAAACTTCTAATGTGCTGGTAAGTTTACATGAACTGGTTTGTTTTTTAAAGACCCGCAGCATTAATTATCTTAAATAGTAAGATTAAAAATCAAGCTAAGGAATATGAACTTATGCTTTCAGACATTGCTAGCCCATGGTTTGGTACATCATTTAGATCTAAGAAAATTGTATAGGAAAATTTGTTTAGATAGCTCCCCTACTATAATCAAAGGAAGCAGGCTGCTATGAGGTTTAAAGTAGTGCAGTTTTAGATATATGCACTCAGAAATCAACCCTACAGAATTCAGTTTAAGTTGTGTGTTCATGTGTGTGTGTGCATATATATATATAGAGAGAGAGAGACTACAAAACATACATGTCCTAGAAATGTTGCAACAGTTCTTCTTTCAGAAAATACTTTCTTGCCAAGGGTGAAATCTTGAGTTACATGCAGAAAAGTAGAAAACTACTATTTTAATAGAAATTGTAGGAATTTACTGTGATGAAAAAATGAGCAAAGTTTGAATGAGGTTGTTAACTTTGCTGATAATTAAATTAGCCCATAACTTTCTTTTCCCTCTTGCAGTCTGTGAATCCTTATATAGGAAAACTGTCTATCATAGATGATGAAGCTACACTCAATGTGAGTATGAGGTTGTAAATTTTGTGTGATAGAATGTTAGGAATAAAGTGAGAAATGAAAAGTGAATTAAAAAGGATGCTCAAAGGTGCTTTAGGTTCCATATCACATCTGAATAATATTGCAGTACATATGTATGCAGCGTAGTACATTGTGCTTATTTCTATTATTCCTAACTCTGGCTTTTGAGGATCCCATGATTAAAAAAAAAACACAGATTCAACCCTGTTGTTAAATTATTTTGACTCTTCCAGGAGAATTGCTAATATGATTTAAAATGTTTGTCTCATTTTTATGGCATTTTATATCCTGCATTCCTCTCACCCCAATTCAAGGCAGAATATTGTACATTGAATCCTCATAACAAACTTCTAAGTGAGGTTAAAGTGCCAAGATCACTTAGGGAACTTAATCAAAAATGTTGATTAATGATTATTTTCATATATTACTCTTATAATCTAGTCAATATACCAGACTGAGTCCAGTTGGAATGAGTCTTCTTGGAAAGCATTACTGTATACAACTTACTTGGAGAATAGTCAGAATCTTGCATAAAACGAGGTCTTTAGTTCACTAACAAGTGTTTAAAGTGTTACTGTGAATGATCCAAAATTTTTTGTGAGCAGAGAGTTGCACCTCTGCCCTAATTTATATGGACTTTTCTCTTTTTCTCTTCTTGCAGGGAATGGGTCTTGTAATTGCCCAGGCATTATCAGAATACAACCGGTAAGTTAAAGAATGTTTGTAAATTAAATGAATATTTTGCTGAGAAAATGTATTCATATTCCTACTGGCAAAGTTGTGAAATAAAAGGATTTTTGAAATGCTTATTTATGGCATTCTTTTTTTTTACACACAGGCTAGATTTATTTGCAGTTTTTGATTCCCAGTATATCATTTAGCTCTTTCAAAAATCAGTTTTGGTGAAAGCAGTTTAAATTAGAAACTGGTACTATAGATTAGCTAAATCTTGGTTCTCTTCATTTAATGTTCAGATATCTTGATATCAACTAGTGTGATTGCTTGAAGGAAAGAACCGTATATCATTTCTATCAGGAAAGATCATGTTGTAACAACTAGTTGGTTTCCAGTCTTACCTTTTTGAAGGTTACAGGACTTCCTTTAATTGATGTACAATGATATCCTCTGCCTTTTCATCATTATGCTAGCAATAATTCACTGTTGTAAGAGAATGCCCAGAAATTTAAATGCACTTTTTGCAAATTGGTTTTGTGTCTCAGTAGTGAGAGAAAAAAAGTGCACAAGAAAGAAGAGTAAAGAAAACTAACTTAGACTTTTTAAAATACCTGAGATGGGGCTATAAGGCAACTAGTTTACATGGAAAGTTCCCAGTTGTATCCTTGAGATTTGTTCTGTTGAAGCATGCTGCTGAGAAATAGAAAAAGGTTATGTTTCTGCATGAGAAAATGAAGGCAAATCAATATAGAAATAAACAAAGAACTCAAAGCATATTTTGTATAATAGGCAGCATAGGAATGGATGAAACATTAAATTCAAAAGGCTTTTTATAAATCATGTTCTTAGATATCTTTCATTATCAAGTTTGTTAGAAAGATAAGTTTTTGTATTTCCCTTTGGCATCTGATGCTATTTCTTTCCTTTAAAATAAATCCAGACATCATTTGGAGGACCTGTATTTTTAAAAAAATGTTTATATCATAATTAAAAGAACACATTTTTCTTGCTCTGTAATGATGCTCATGGCAACTTCTGTTGTTTTATCTCCCACTGCTGTTCTTGTTCAGACAGTTTCGAGACAAAGAAGAAGAACATCAGAGCGGGTTTTTCTCAGCCTTGACTAACATGGTAAGAAATCAGTGACTCTGTTGTCAGTCAATGCTTGTCATGCAAGGAGTCTGGTCTAAGAGATTTGCAGGAGGAGATGTAGAATCTTTCTGTACATGTTATAATGGGTTTAAATCCTGACTATAAAATACAAAGGCCTCTCTACTACTTTTAGCCCTGTGGACCAGATAGGTTAGTGGAAGACCTCAGTATATCCTAAAGCTATGCAATACTGCTTTTTTCCCATAGGTGGGCAGTATGTTCATTGCTGATGCTGATGAAAAAATCTCCGTCCAGTAAGTACATCCATCAGATGACAAACATAATTCTTTGGTTTAGAAGTCTAAAATACAATCTATTGCTTAGTGGAACTGGCACCTAATCTTCTAGCTCAGCAATCAGTACTGCAGATAATAGCATAAATGCTATCTAGAATATGGGCAAACTAGCAGATGCTGCATTTGCATTTTAAATGTGTTTCAGCGAAGGGGTTTTTTGCTCTTATTGTAAATACAAAGAATTGCAATACACAGGAGACCAAGCTAGCATTATTTTGGAGCAGGAGCATCATTTGTCCCATAATATTCCATATGTAAAAGCTAATTCCAGGACACTACAGATAGTCCTCGACTTACAGCAGTTTGAAGTTTTAACAGCACTGAAAACAGTATGACCATTTTTCAAACTTGTCACTGTTGCAGCATCTCCATGGTCATGTGATTTACATTTGGATGCTTGACAGTTCACATTTATGACAGTTGCAATGTCCTGGGGTCATGTGATCTCCTTTTGCGACTGTCTGACAAGCAAAGTGGATGAGGAAGCCAGATTCACTTAACAACAGTGTCATTAATTTAACAACTGCAGTGGCTGACTTAGCAAACGTGGCAAGAAAAGTTGCAAAATGGGAAAAAAACTCACTTAACAAATTACTTATTTAGCAATATAAATGTTGGGCTCAATTGTGGTTGTAAGTTGAGGACAACTATACAAAAATAAGTAATTTTCATGATATTTTGAGCTCAAGACCATGAAAAATGAGGATTAATGGCTAAATGCAGTTAATGAAAGCTCACAGTGAGGATAATAAAACCAGATAAGACCTGATTTACTGACATATTCTGTGACAATGGCAAAGAAGGCTTGCTTGGCTGCCCCTTGCTATATCCCTGCATCTACGCAATATAGACTGGTGGAGCTATTTAAAACAATTAAATGTTAAAGGTCTTTTAAAGGCCTAGAACATCTTGTTGTGGTAGTCTTAAATGTAGATAAAAACCAATGAATTTGAAATGTCAGACGTTATGGTTTAGAAAAGTCAGTGAGAGCACCATCCTGTGCTTTAATATGTATACTTCCCAGCTTATGCAGTCGGAGTATATTTAAATTGTTTGGATGATGCAAGCTTACCACCCTTCCCAGCTTCTCCTTACCACCAAGCATATGAAGATTGAGTCAATTCTTGAATCAGATCTTCCTCATTCTATTTTAGTCACAGGTACACATAAATGTCAGATTAGAGTTCTTTTGAATTCAGTATGTTAATATCACATGTCTTTTCCATTCCTGTCGTGAAGAAATGTATGAATTTTGGTAAGTCAAAAGAAGCAGAACAGAATCCTTTTTTTTCTAGGCTAGTTAAATTCATTGCATGCACTTATTTCTAGCTTAATCCTAAAACTGCATCTCACCTATTTTGGCCATGTCATGTGGAGGAATTCACTGGAAAAAGCAATTTTGGAAGAGATAGCGGTAAAAGAAAACCAGGTCACTCAAGATCATGGTGGTTGGACACCATCAAAGCTGACACCAGCCAGAGCATAGAACACCTCAGAGAAATAGTGCAAGATAGGAAGATGGGGAGAGACCTGGCCCATTGAATCGCCAAGAGTTGGACACAACTAAATGGATAACATCTTCATCATTATCATTTCCAGCTTGGAGAGATGCATCTATGTGCTGTATAGTTGTTGCTGAAAGTGCATGAAAAAAGAGAAAGCCACCCTAATCCAGCACCCCAAATATAACTAAGCATATTGGAATTTGAACTTGATCCGCTAAGACCTGATCAGCCTCTTGGATGAAAAATATTTCAGTTTCATTTTAATGTCTAAATACATACAATTCTTGATTTATGACCACAATTGAGCTCAAAATTTCCATTGCTAAGTAAGAAGATAGTTGTTAAGTGAATTTTGCCCCATTTTATTACCTTTCTTGCCACAATTGTTAAGTGAATCACTTCAGTTGTTAAGTTAGTAACATGGTTGTTAAGTGAATCTGACTTCTCAGTTGACTTTGCTTTTCAGAAGGTCACAAAAAGTGATCACATGATCCTAGGACCATGATGGGGTGAAAAACAACCCAACGCGCAAATCAGAAGTTGGGGAACGGACTTCTTTCTGGTTTGTGTGGGCTGTTTTTCTCCCTCTGGAGGCTTCAGGAGGTTTCCCTGAATGGAACATACCTTACCAATTCTGTATAAATGCACTAGTTGCAAGTGTGTTTCTGATTTCAGTTGAAAATGGTGATTGTTTTATAAAACCAAAAATGTTAGAACTGTTGGTAAGCATGAAAGACAGAAATTTCACACTGATTTCTTCCATATTGTTACAGCTTTCTGCAGTCATTTCCACTGACAGTTCTGCCCACTGTATATAAAATGCATTATTTGCTTCTTTCTAATCACAAATTAACATACTTCATAACCTGTTCCTGTTTAAGTACAGGGTTATTTTAATTGATCTTGGTAGGTATAATAATGCTATTTTGTTTTATTTTATTGTGTCTTTTAAATGTTTTGAGTCACCATGTAAAGACTATTTTTACACAATACAGTTTATTATGTTGTATGACAAAATGGCTTATTATAATAAATATGAGAAAACACACTGAAATGTTTCATGTTTCTGATTTGTGGGTTTTTCTGTTTTATCTGAGTGTCCAAAATAACCTCTTTCCCTTACTGTAACTTGGCAAAGTGTTCCAAGAAATTTGATTACTGCAATAAATGTGTTTCTCTTCTGCTTTGTAGAACTAATGAAGCTATCCTTTTGGCTCTTTATGAAGCTGTCCACTTGAATCGAAACTTTATCACTGTATTGGCACAGGTGTAGTATAATTCACTTTAGTACATCTGAGGAGTCTGTAGAATCCAAATTGAAAAATAGCTTAGACCTTTGAAGGTAGCTGTTCTAACAGAGATTTAAATTCATTCTGTTTGTGTGTTTGTTAAGTTTATTTGCTCTGTTTGATCATAGTAATTTGCTAATGTTTCGGTTTGGAAGTTGGAAAATACATTCCTTTAACTGGAATATCTAAAGCATTTCTGTTTGCCCCCCCCCTCCCCCACAAAAGACAGGAGGCTAGTCAAGTATCTATACAGCTCTCAGCCCAAAATGGGATGGGTCCTGTGGTGGGATTCAATTTTTTTACTACTGGTTCTGTGGGCATGGCTTGGTGGGCGTAGCATGGCTTGGTGGCATAGCTTGGTGGGTGTGGCAGGGGAAGCATACCATTCCTACCCCACTCCAGGGGAAGAATACTGTAAAATCACCATTCCTACCCCACTCCAGGGGAAGAATACTGTAAAATCACCATTCCTACCCCACTCCAGTGGAAGGTTACTGCAAAATCCCCATTTCCTCCCAATCAGCTGGGACTCGGGAGGCAGAGAATAGATGGGGCAGGGCCAGTCAGAGGTGGTATTTATCGGTTCTCCAAACCACTCAAAATTTCCACCACCGGTTCTCCAGAACTAATCAGAATCCCCTGAATACCACCTCTAGGTGGGTCAACCACTAGAGATTATAGTGTTAGAGTGGCTCCATGAGACTTAGGTTCTAGTTCAGCTATGGAAAGTCAGGGAGTGATTTTGGCCAGTCACTTTGTCTGAGGTCAAACTATCTCACGGGGTTCTGTTGTGGGGATAGATAAATAGGAAAAAGATGCATTCAGTACACAGTATTGATTTGCATTCCTGTACAAAAGATGAGATTTAAATCTAACAAATAAATATGATCAATTACTGAATCAAGAAAGAAGTTAGTTTTGAATTTATTTACTCATTTGGCCAGCATGTATGCTATAATATCCTATACAACAAGCCAGAGTTGTAAAGAATGGTACTTCACTCCCTTTTGAATTCTTCAGGTCATGTTTATGAAGGTAAGGGAAGATAAGTAGACCTGGAACATATAAAATTATCCCTAAGTTGAGTCAAGAATATCATACATAGTCATGAACATTTTGATTCAAGCTGTCTGTCAGCTGATTAGAATCCAAAACTATACAATATCTTTCCCTTCTTTTAAAGTGTTTTGAAAATTCTGGTAGGAAAAAACATGGCTTTTGGGTATACTGTCAGAAAGCAACCATATATTTAGTGTTACATATATTGACGGCAGCAAGAATCATATATGCTAAATATTGGAAAAATGCAAACACCCCACTGGACGATGATATAATTAAGAACATTTGGGATTGTGCTGAACTGGATAGATTAACCTTAAAAATTAAAGATAAATATTATAGGACATGAAATAAATTTTATGAATGGATAGAGTTAAGAGGTAGAAATGAGAGGGAAGTTGACAAATGTTAATAACTCTTAGTATGGAAAATAAAGATGCTATAGAATCGGAATGGCGAACCTATAGCACGCGTGCCACAGGTGGCAAACAGAGCCATTTGTCAGGGCACGTGAGGCATTGCCCTGTCAGCTGGCCATCTGAGTTCAGCCTTTTTTAAAGCCATTTTTCGCCCTCCCCAGGCTCCAGAGGCTTTATAGGAGCCTGGAGAGGGCGAAAAGAGCCTCCCCTGCCCCCCCGGAGGCCCTCTGGAGGCTTCAGGAGCTTCCCTGAAGCCTTCGGAGCTCAAAAAACCTGCCCTATGGGCAAACAGGAAGTTCAGGAATGGACTTCTGGTTTGCTCAGAGGGTCGGTTTAAGCCCTCCAGAGGCTTCAGGGACCTTCAGGAGGACTAAAAAGGACCCTATGAGCAAACCAGAATTGACTTCTGGTTTGCTTGTAGGGTCGTTTTTTTGCCCTTCGGAGGCTTCAGGGAAGCCTCCTGAAAGTCCCTGAAGCCTCCGGAGGGCCTCCGGGGGGGCAGGGGAGGCTGTTTTCGCCCTCCCCAGGCTTCTATAAAGCCTCTGAAGCCTGGGAAGGGTGAAAAAAGCGTGGAAAAATGGGGGGGGGGAGTGCCTGTCATGCACGCATGCGCACAGGGGAGGGGTGTTGCACATTGCATTATGAGTGTGGCACACCCACGCATGATCCCCCTGTGCTTCCCCCCATGGCATGCAAGCCAAAAAAGGTTCGCCATCGCTGCTGTAGAATTATGGATATAATATGGAAAAATTGTAAATAGGTTAAACTCATATTTTTTCTTTGGTTGTATTATTATAATTACTGTAAATATATTATTGTTATAGTTAATAGCTTGTTAAGTATGTTAAGGTTTGCTATTGATTTTTCTTTGGCTTTGCTTTGTTTGTAATTGTTACCCTGACATGGCACTGTCTTTTCAATAAAGTATAAAAAAAAAATTCTGGTAAAAAGCTTGCAAAAATGGTTTTTTTCTAATTTATCTCTGCCATTCTGAATTTTGTTCCTGGGTGCTCTTAGCTGATGTTTATATGTAATGAATACTGGTTCAAATCTGGTTTAAATCAGTCTGAATAAAATCAAAATTTAATCATGCTGCTAGTGTACTTATGTTGCTCCAAATAAATATTTCAAGGTGTCCTGTGTCATTTTAAAAAGAAACTCTGTATCATAAATAATAAATCTAGCATAAAGTTGTGAGTAGTTTATATACATGTTTTGTTTGATGTTGGGATCGTAGCTATGATGAAGATAATAATTTATGTATGAGAGTTGCTTTGTTCACTTTATTCATTTTTGTGTGACCTGGATGTTTTAGAGCAATGCTGTGCAGGATACATGTCGGCTAAAGCCTTTTCAGTTGAACAGGATAGGAATTACTGCAGTTACTGCAAGCTTAAATTTCAGAATTGCCACACCAGCATCTTGCTGCTAGGCGGTGCTGTTACACTTAGCTGGAAGAAGAGTTATAAAACCTGATTATAAGAGAACCCAAGTCATTAAACTATGGAAATAGAGTCATTTGTGTGCATTATTTTCAATGGACAGTTTATTTCAAAGTTGGTCTTGGAGGTTAATTTCAAAAATTGAGAAAATATTAGTTAATCCTTATAAGATTAAGTGTAGAATCCATTAATAACCCAGCTTTTAAAATTTCTGCAGTAGCAGGCCCCTGTGTGAAGTTACATGAAATATTGTACAATAAAAAACATATTGGTACCATAATTCCAAAATGCATTTCAAATCTGCTTGCTGCTGAGAGAACATTTGGAAATACGTTGATATGAAAGGTACTCTGTGAAACGGACTTCATTATTTCACAGTTGAGCATAAAATAGAATAGTATGCTGATGTAAAGTCTTGCCTGTTTTTATGGATGACAGTATTACAAATGGAACCCTATAGTTAAATCAGCAATTAGATGGGGAGCTTCTGGCTGAGATGAAATGTAGAAAGGACTAGTAGAAGCAGGCAGGCGGAACAGGTAACAGTAATAATATTTGTATAGCCTTGTGTTCTCCTGAAACACCTGGGTTAAGCAGCAGGGTAGCAACATGATGCATTGACTTGCTGTATAATCAGGAATATATTAAGAGAGGGGATGGAAGAAGAAAGAAGGAAATATTGCTTTCATAGCAACTTTTGTAAGAAGATTAATTTTAACTTTTAAAAAGCTGTTCAGTAATTTCTTATATGCATGAAAATAATGACAGATTCTAGCAAGGATTGTAGGTGTGATAAGATAGCAGAAGCAAAATAGCTGCAATATCAGGAATGGGGTAAAATTGCACTAAAGGATACTTAAGGTAGTACAGGCATCACTGAGTGTAAATTTATTTGGATATATGTTTAATTCCTAGAGTCATCCTGAAATTGGTTTAGTGACAATGCCAGAAAGCCCAGTTCCAACTACACCTGTTACTCCACTTGGAACCACACCACCTTCTTCTGATGGTGAGCCGTTCTATTTTCTATACATGTTTGTTGCATTTCTGTATTCTAAGGAAGAGAACAAGTGGCCCTTTTACGCAGAAAAGCATAAGTGCTTATAGATCCTGGAATCTTAGCAGAAATCCTCATCAGGAATAGCTTATAGAACCATGGTATTACTTGGCTTAATCACGAATTGTTCCCAAATGAGAATCTCTCTCTGAATGTTATTTTTATGTGATAAGACATTGTCCTTAGGCTGGTGGCACATACATGGTTGTCCACGTGAAGATGTGGATGGCCATCCTAGATAACAGGATCAGTTGTCTGTATCCGATTGCCTAGTTGCCCTGTGCGTGTTGACTGCTTTATATGTTACAGATATCTTAATGGAAAAATAAGATATATTTCATAAAACTTTATAAGCATTTGAGTGAGAACGGAATCTTATCCTGTAATAGCTGCTATTAAGGTCACTCTGGCATCCTGGTAGAAGAGTATTCTTCTCTGAGAAGATAAATTCTTCGTTGCCATGGATATCAAAAGCCTGTGGGTTTTTTTTTTGAAAAAGAATTCTGTCTTCTACCTCTCTGTGTACTGTATTCTATATGATGTTAAGGGTTGAGAGTTGCTAAGCTTCTTTCATATTATTCATTGCAAATATAGCTGCCCACACACTTTTTTTTAATGCAGCAGGCAAAATTTGCGTGCATACCTTCAACTCTCTTTTCCTCTCATTTTCTAATTTACATAGACAAATCCAGATTGTTGTAAATATGCACAGAGAGTGCTACTTTCCTATTTCCTGGAGATTAATTAATGTAATAAAAGGAATTCTTATTTGGCCAGTTTCAATATAGACCTGACTTTATTTATGGTTTTCATCCTTTTTCTGTACTTTCAGGGATTCAATGAATGTGTCCACATTATCTTACTCCCTAATATTTCTTACTTCCCTTTAAAAAAAAGCATGCCAGGATGATTCCCACTCATACTGTGCCATAAAAAAATGCAGATGAATAAAGCAATATTTTGCTTTACATTTTATATTACATATGGCCATTTCAAAGTCAAAGAGCAGCCTATATCTTGAAGAATATACCCCAGAGTACTTACGATCCTGAGTACTTTAACTGCTGCTGGATTTTGCCAAATAGGTCTTGAGTCTTGGATTAGTTCCAGTTTTTTTGACTTGTACCATAGATTAAAAACTGTTCTAATGTTTCAAATTAATATTTATTTAGAAGATTTATTATGCCCTCCAAATCTATGTAATTACAATTTTAGGTGGCACACATCAAATAAAAAACAAACTCAAATAATAATTAGAATTAAAAAACATACAAAAAAGAAACAAAAGCCATAACAAATATATTAGACCACCCCAGTCTGGGTTATCTAACATGCATACCATCTCCCAGAAAATGGGTTCATACATAATCCTGTCTCATTGTCTGGGGCAGAAACTAGGTGGAATTATTCAAAGAGCAGGTGCAGTCACAGGAAAACCACATCTCCTAGGTCCCATCAGATGATTTTGCCTCAAGAGACAGGCAGTCCCACAAAGAGTTTCTACCTGTGACCCATTTGTGCTGGGCTTATATGTTGCTCTAATCATGTCTGATTTTTGAGCAGCCTCCAGAGCAGTAATCACTGTAAAATTAAATATAACCATATAAGCATTACAAAATAATAAATAATTTCACAAATGCCAAGAAGCAACCATAACAAAATCCCTGTCCAAGAGAAATACTATGTGCTTTATTTGGGAGTGACCCCACTTCATTGTTTGTGGGTTCCAGTGGCAATGTTGCTTGATTTTTCTTATCTCCAAATTAATAATCTACAATGATTCTGCCTGATGTCATAAACAATTGTTAAAGTAAAGACAAGGTTTGTAGTATTTAATAATAGAAACATGTTGCTTTACCTCCACTCGGAAGGGTTTCAGAATGGTTAAGTTCTACTGATGAGCAAACCTTCTCTGATTTTTCCCAGTCATTAGCACTGTAGAGCTGCCCTTGGATGCTGATGTGCAGACAAGCAACCTGCTGATAACCTTCTTAAAGTACAGTTCTATTGTCATGCAAGATACCAAAGGTAGGCAGCTGTATCAATATAGCTTTGCATTTCTGAAATCAGTTGGGGTGGGGGGTGGGAGGTTGTTACTAATTTAACTGCATAAAACAATCTAGCTAATTCATCTTGGATAATAAATTTCAGTATGAACTGATTTCTTATTGCCAGATGACAATTCTAAGAGATCAAGGAGCTTTGATGCTGAAGGAGAGAAAACCCAAATATAGAAGAAAATGTATAACAGAGATTTGTCATGTTCTCCCAAGGAAATAAAGCAGACAATTATATATAAGAAAGCAAAGGATAGGGTGGTCTATAACGCCTTGTTTCTGAGAATACCCCAAAGGGAAAAACTGCATAAGACAGAAGTCAGTTCAGGGTAAACATTATGAACTCTTCAAAACACATGTGATGCGTCATAGCTACTGTAACAAAGCTGACTTCTTGTGAGTTGGTACAAGAAAGCTGTATCAAAAGGTGATAAGGTTTGGCTTGAATTTAAACGTTTTGGCTTTCTATAAAAGCCGTATTGGCCATTGGAGGATAGTGATTCACGTCTTATATGCTGTGGATGGATAACTATGTATTCATTTTAACTGGCTAAGCCACAAAAAGTGCACAGGCAAACTTACAGTTTTATGTTATGTTGGCTCTATTCATTTGTTATTTTGATTGTTTGTTGAATAAGATGGGTAGCCCTTCAAATAAGTAACGTGCTCAATTATTCAGTTTTTACTTCAACACTTGAACCCAATATCTGTGTGTGTGCATGTGCATTACACACACACACAGTCTGTAAAAATATATGTGTTTATCTATGCCCGTATATGCATACAGTAATAAAATTTATTTTGCCTTTTATGTCTTATATATCTGTTCAAGTTGTTTTTCCTTTCTTGGACAGTTTCTGTGGATTTTGTGTCAGCATTTTTAGTGGGATACGTGTCTGTTTCCTTACTGGATCTACATTTTCATAGAAAGATTCTACATAATTTTTATGTAGAATTCAGCCAGTACTTATTTAGTGACTACAACCTATGCCAGCATCTTTATTGTTAAGCAAAATGGTCACTAAATGAACCATATGACAGAGAGAAAGAGAGACTTCTGGTTGCTCTTATTTCAGTTAGACAAAATTCTCTCATGCAGCAACATTGGCATTTTTCTCACTCTGGCATGCATTGCTCAGATGCAAAAAAATGGTTGTTAAGTGTGCATGTTGGTCAAAATAAATTTTTACTACTGTTCAGCAATGTTGGATTTGTGAACAATCACTGTGATAGTTGCTAAACAATGTTCTTGGGGATTTTCTTTTAGAGAATCACATTTGCTTTTCTATTAAATTACTCTCAAAGTGTCATGCTTACTTTTTTGCCTAAGAGGTCAAATCGTCCCCTTTGGCTTGCACTTTGAGTTGAAATAGACATTAGGGGTCATGGAAAAAAATATTGTCAAGAAGGATGAGATGGAAGGAGAAAGCAAATGTGGGAGGATAAACTTGAAGCATGTTTCTTTAATTGTTTGCTTTTTTGTTGTTTTTGCTTTTCAGCATCAAGTATTGTTGATCTAATTATAAAACTACACCAGGATTTTGAGATATGTGATATTGTTTCATTAAAATGGGAATTATAAACCATCTGAAATCATAAATTCAAGTTGGTTTATTTCTAGAAAGTTAACTGAATGCTTGTAGTGTTTTTGAGCATTCTGATTTACCCCATTTTGGTTAAACCAATCCAGATTTGTAATGTCCCGGCTACGACATTGAATTAAATGATAGAAGTAGATGTGATGTGTCCCCAAATTTACCAAGGTAGCATTATGCAGTTCCTTTTAGATTTGCATTGCAGTCTGAATAAACTACATGTGTAGACATTAAACATTTTTCTCTATATTGTGTATTAACAGTAATTTCTGCAAGTCATGGGTTTGTTTAAATTTCATTGTCAATATGAAAGCTTTATTTGCTCCCTGTTTAAATGCAGAATGCTTATAAATTATATTTGTGCTTTTTTCTGTGAATTGGGAGAATGGTAATAGTTCAGGATTGAATGCTGTACAATATTGAATAGTGGGAGTGACTGTTTATCTGCCACAATGGTTGGAGTTTTCACAATTGATGCTTAGTTCAATTCTTGAAATATTTAGTATGGCAATACTTTATAATGAATCCCCTAATTACTATTATCATGTTGGTGTTTTTTATTTGTTAATAGTCTCTACCTTGTTCAACAATGAGAAAAAGGAAATTCTAGTCAAATACAGTATGCAACTACATAGAATAGTCTTCACTGTGTTTCTTCACCCATAACAAAGGGTCAAAATTGGCATTGTTCTTAGGGGACTTGTGCTAAGGGTGCTATTGTATAATGCATTTAAGACTTGGGAAGTTGCTTCAGTGCTAAAGCACAAAGCATTGCACTGGTTAAAGCAGTTAGGTAGCTAAGAAAATGCTGGTAAATAAACATATCACTAGTATATAACCGCAGGAATCTAAAGTTAAATGCTTGGCATGAAGGAATAATGCATGCAGCGTAATCTCCAAGGATGAGACCTAACTGTGACACCTGAGCATGAGCAGTAAATCTCTGGATTTTGCTGTGAAAAGATAACAAGACTCTAAAGTATTATGGGTCTCTAGAGCTGCTGTTCCTGGAAAAAGAGCATTTTAGCTTGTTTTTCAATTGTCATCAGTGGAGGTCAGGTGTGTTACTGATATTTAAAGGTACCTCTATACAGCTTTACAGTCACAGGTACTCGTAGAAAGTGAGCCAGATGTAACAAATTAAGATTGACTAAGGAAGTTATGATTAATATAGATTGGTAGTCTGCTTTCTCAGCCGGAAGACTAGAGCAAAACAGCAGTGTGAAAGTGCATGAAAGTCATGCAATTCCTGGTTTATTGAACCAGGATTCATTTGGTGGGTTATTGAGAACTGCTACTATGGTACTATGGGGCCAACAGTAATGCTGGGTATTGTCTGATAGTCAAGAGACTCATCATCTTTTTAACAGTGGAAAATACTAGTGCTGAAGACTATAAAAAGAAGATAGTTCCAGGGTTAAAACCAAAAATAACAAAATCCTTGTTATTATTGTGGGATCCTAGGTAATAGCTTTGAAGTACTATGTTGTACTGGGGTGGGGTGAGAGCCGAGGTGGCGCAGTGGTTAAATGCAGCACTGCAGGCTACTTCAACTGACTGCAGTTCTGCAGTTCGGCTGTTCAAATCTCACCGGCTCAGGGTTGACTCAGCCTTCCATCCTTCCGAGGTGGGTAAAATGAGGACCCGGATTGTTGTTGGGGGCAATATGCTGACTCTGTAAACCGCTTAGAGAGGGCTGAAAGCCCTATGAAGCGGTATATAAGTCTAACTGCTATTGCTATTGCTATTGTTGTATCACCTCTTGCTCTGTTGTGCTTATGGATTTCTGTGATTTCTGATTTGCATATTGATCTTTTCACATGCTAAGGAATGATGGCTTATATGTGTCCTCATATTCGTTTGTAGATGCACACAGACTCCATAGTGGAAAGCTCTGCCTGATTATCTTAACCTGCATAGCAGAGGTAAGTTTTTCCTGTCCATATCCTCCATCTTAGTAGCACAAGTAAAAATCAGCCTCTTAGGATCTTTGCATTCCTTTATCTTCCTCCATCTCTGAAACTGAACAATAATCACTGCAGTTTTGAGAAATAGTCACTTGGTGAGATTTGCTAACTGGAAACATACTTCCCATCTGGCTACAATTTTTATTAGGATAAAAAAAAATCAAGACTGCAATATTGGACTCCATTGTTTGTTTTTCACATATAAAAGGAGGTCCTCTTTTCACTTTAGAAGACAAGGAGGCTTGGGAAAGGGAACTTACAGTCATAAATGGGAAACTTTTGAAGTGTAGTAGTGCTTTCTTCTTTCCATTTTTATGAGAGAAAGAGTATTTGTTCATATCCAAATACTCTTTCTTTCATAAAATACTGGAAGAAGGTTACGGTTTTAAAATTGGAGAAAGAAATATCGATAACCTGCATTATGCTGATGACATTAATTTAGTAGCACAAGATGCAAATAACCTGGAAACACTAGTAAAAAAATTGCGACTAAGAATATATATTAAAGAAGACCAAGCTAATGACAAGTACTGCAACCTATCTTAGAACTGACAATGAAGATACACTGAAGTAGTGGATGTATGATATATCTATTTCTACAAATATCAAAATTATGAAGGCAATGATTTCCCCCATTTATGAAAGCAAAATTTGGAATTTGAAGAAGTAGAAAAGGGTATCAACATTTTTTAAACTTTGATATTGGAGAGGACTTCTGAGAATTCCACGGATTATTAAGAAAACAAACATAATTCATATAAAAACCAATTCAGTGTTTTTACTTCAGCTACAGATGACCAGGCTCAATTTATACTTTAATATATTATGCAAACATCTAGCTCTCTTGAGAAGTCTATAATACTGGGAAAGGTGGAAGGAAAGAGAAGAAGAGGATAACCAGCAGCAAGGTGGGTACATCCAGTTGCAGGAGAGATGGATGCGTTCCAGGAAAGCCTGAAGGACAAGGTTGGGATGGAGATTCTGGAGAAGATCTGTGTGGTCGTTAATCAATTTGAATAATCATAATTAGTCAACTAGATGAAAAATACATTTGAATCATCTGCCAGGAGTAATATTTCAGATTGTTGCATTCATAAATGTTGTCTTTCAATACTACTTTGATATTAAAATGTGTGATTTTGCTTACTTTGGTTATTTTTCTTTTTCCATAGGACCAGTATGCTAATGCTTTTCTGCATGATGACAATATGAATTTTCGTGTAAACCTCCACAGAATGGTAAGTTGTCTTGAGCAGGAACTCTGTTAGGTCAAAGTCAGCCTTGGATTTTTTCCTCTCTTTTACTTCTTGTTTGTATTAGTGATTTGGGTTTGATGTTTTTCAACTGTTTTGTATTTTAACCTTTGTTAGTTTGGGTTTTTTATTTTAATTTAATTTAATCCTGTTTGCCATACAAAGTCACTTGTTGATGTTTAGCCACATAAATTGGATACATAAATAAAACTGATGCTTTGGTATTAAGCTTTTGCATGGTGATGTTGGTAAATATCTGAAAGTTTCTGGTGAACATTTGGTGTACTAGGTGTTCTGGTCTTATTTTTCTTAATTTTCCCACCCTTATTCCAGTAGTTTATTGCAGAATGCAAGACTGGCTCATGGTTGTGGTCAAACAGCCTCATCAAGATTTCTTGAGTGGGATGAGCTTGTAGAACACAGTGGAGAGCAATTTGCATTGTTGCAATGAGAGATAACTAGATCTACAGAAATATTAGAGAATAATATATATGTATGTATATTTTTATATGAGGACAAGGCTGAGTTAAATTGATATGGCTGACGCAATCAACTACTTTCCCATGGGATTTTCCCCCTGGCTATTTCAGGTGTCACTTTCTGCTCTTCTTAACATTTTTGGAAGCAGTTGGGACACTTATTAACCCCATTAACTTCTTTCCCTGTTTCATCCTATACTATGTGACTGCAGGAGGAAAAAGTTAAAAATAGAATGGAGAAAGAGTGGAAATTCCTAAAGCATTCATTTTTAGAGCAACTGTAGGATTTAATTTTGTTCCAGCAGTAGATAAAGAAAGTTAAACCTTTGTTAACATTCTCTTTGGTATTCTTACAACACAAATGACAAAGGAAAGTGAGTTAACTACAAACAACCCTGGGATGTTTTGAACTAAATCTAATGTATTCTAACTCATTGACTGGGTTATGTTAGAGCCTCCCTGAGTCAGCTAATCAAAGTGTATTGGGGAAAAGCAGCCTGTATGTATCTACTCTGAATAGCTGCTTTTTCTGTTTTTCCAGCTGCTAGATAATGATATAATGAATACATGAAAATCTGTCTAACTATCTCAGTATTTTCTCTCTACTCTGGTTGGTATTGCAGTTGCCTAAGCTACCTTTTTGCTTTAAAGCTTAATGAACAAAATAAATGCTGTGGGGTAGAAGAGGATATCAGAGTCTGCAGGGAGAGGAAGTGAAGTAATATGCAGTATGATGTTATCAAAGAAATTCCCAAAATTACATACTTGTATCTGACATCAGGATGCTAGCAGATAAAAACTGGATTTGCACAATGATGTCATCATGTGAACATCATAATTTTTTCCCTGTTGTGACCAGCTATGGATTCCTATATGAGAGGATGAAATCGTCCTTTTCTGAGCAGTTTGATTTATATGGAAAATACTAGTAGTTTCGGTAATCACTGCTTTATACCTTCCGACTAATTCATTTTCATGTGTTTGAAGCCTATGAGACACAGGAAGAAAGCTGCTGATAAGAATCTTCCCTGTCGACCTCTAGTTTGTGCAGTGTTGGGTAAGTCTACATGCCAGATTTTGTCAACAGTTTCTTCATAGATTGGGGGGAGGGGGGAAGGAGATAAAGGATTGGGGCAGGAGGAAAATATTTATAAGCCAATTCTGAAATGCATTTCATTTACCAATATAATGCAGTTCTGTGTTTCCCACCTACTGCTTCCTTCTTTTGGCAAGAAGTAAAAGCTTTTCTAGACAAATCCATTCCAAACTAATTGAAGGGTGAGGGAATATATTTATTTTAAAAGACTGTTAGATCACAATGGAATAACTGGTTAATTTTTTTTAGATGGGACGAGTGCTGTATAGGAATACAATAAAGTATATAAGGTTTTATGGAGGACTGAATGCAAGGATCCTTAGGACTTTCTCTATTTTACAGTTGTTTTCAATACCGATAAGAGGAAAACTAGCAAAGCTGTTTGTGTTATTTTGTCAACTTAGAATAAATATATTGTGTTTATATATTGACATAAAATGTTTCTGAGTGTAGGTGATGTAGTAAGAGTTCCTCGCTTCCAAATTACAGTTATATTTTCTGTCCTTTAGTTCCTTAATGCACAAACTATAGGATTTCTCTCTCCCCAACAAGTATAACTTGGAATCATTGTACATAATAATGTTATGTTGAGGCCCATGATGGTGAACCTATGGCACGTGTGCCACAGGTGGCACACAGAGCCATTTGTCAGGGCACGCAAAGCCGTTTGTCACGTGAAGCCATTGTCAGGTGGCACGCAGAGCTATTTGTCAGGGCACGCGAGTCAATGCCCTGTCAGCTGGCCAGTTGACTTCGGCCTTCTTTTGAGGCCATTTTTTGCCCTCCAGAGGCTTCCCTGAAGCTTCCAAAGTGCGAAAAACCGGTCCTACGGGCAAACCGGAAGTTCGGGAACAGACTTCCGGTTTGCTCGGAGGACCATTTTTTGCCCTCCAGAGCCTTCAGGGAAGCTTCCTGAAGGCCCCTGAAAGCTCAGGAGGTCAAAAATCGGCCCTATGGGGAACCCGGAAGTCACTTCTGGTTTGCTCATAGGACTGGATTTTGCCCTCTGGGGCCTTCAGAGAAGCCTCCTAAAGGCCCCTGAAGTGTTCGGAGGGCAAAAAACAGACCTACAGTTTGGGAATGGTGACTTCCGGTTTGTTCATAGGTCTGTTTTTTGCCCTCCGGAGCCTGCAGGAGCCGAGGTGGCGCAGTGGTTAAATGCAGCACTGCAGGCTACTTCAGCTGACTGCAGTTCTGCAGTTCGGCTGTTCAAATCTCACCGGCTCAGGGTTGACTCAGCCTTCCATCCTTCCGAGGTGGGTAAAATGAGGACCCGGATTGTTGGGGGCAATATGCTGACTCTGTAAACCGCTTAGAGAGGGCTGAAGCGGTATATAAGTCTAACTGCTATTGCTATTGCTATTGCAGGGAAGCTCCTGAGGCCTCTGGAGGGCATCCGTGTGGGGGACGGGGAGACTGTTTCGCCCTCCCAGGCTCCTAGAAAGCCTCTGGAGTCTGGGGAAGGTGAAAAAACTGTGGCAAAAGCGGGGGGAGGGGGCGCATAGCATTATGGGTGTGGCACACCGACGCTTTTGGCACGGCAGCCAAAAAAGGTTTGCCATCACTGGTCTAGGCCATTGTTAACAGTGGATAACACTAGCCAAGAATGATATCTTAGAATTTTCAGTTAGAATGGCAACTAATTATAAATCCTGTATCTTTAAATATTTGTATCACATTTTTGCAGATCTTGTGGTGGAATTTATAATAACGCACATGATGAAAGAATTTCCCATGGATCTCTATGTGTAAGTAACAACTACATGAAATTCTAGTTAATTTTAAGAGCGCTTCAAAATTCCAAACAGTGATATTTCTTTTCAATCCATCAAATAATTTAAGAAAAAATGATTCGAATCCCCATTTTTCTTTCCTAAGTTATTTAACATAGTATGGTAGTTGTTATCTGCAAAGGGAATGTCGTGGTGGGTTACATACCCTTGCATGTAAAATGTTAGGGCCCTCTGGTCAAATTGTATGTTTCAATGCATCCCTAAGTGAACAGGAGCTGATATATCCTCTCCATGGTACAAAATTAAACATGACACCTTTACTATTTATGTGTGGATTATTCAAAATAAGGAAAAGTGAATATGGCATGTGTAGAAGTTTTGACAGCCTTTCATTCAGTATTTTTTAATACCACCCTTGGCAGAAATAATAGTTTCCAAGCGTTTCATGTACTGCAGCTAGCTGAAACCCTTTTTATTTTTGCTTTTGGAACTTTTTTCACTCTATCCTTCAAAAACCTCTAGTTCAAAAATATCTTTGCATGTATTGCATCTTTGAGATTCCCTACAGATATTCAGTCATTTTCATATAACATAATTTTAAGCCATAATGAGTGGATCCTATATCACATTAAGCCTAAATAAACAAGCAATGCTATAATTTAGGATTATGTGTGAACCAAGGTGAGTTTCTCGTAACTCTGAGTATATGATATTGTGATGTGTGTAGTAGCTTTTAAACTTCTATAAGTGGCCATAGATTTTGTTAAATCTAAATGATCTGGTTAGTATAATGTACTAAGCCTCAGTTTGTTAATTATGATTTATTGAACAAGCAATTTTTGATTGTTCAGGGAACATATTAAGCCATAAATCATGATTTGCAAATATTTATGGTTGGCTTCATGCAATATATGCAGCCAAAATAATAAAAATCATATTTTGCATTTGGTGCGAACCCAATTAATATTATATTCAGTCTAGTTGGAAGCACTATTCTTGATTTGATTGATTTGAATTCCAAATTTCAATAAAAGCTGTTAAACTTTTTTCCTTTTTCTTGGAACCTAGATTATTTGTGTGGAATATTAGTCAAGTCATGCCCACCAAGCCATGCCCACAGAACCAATAGTAAACAAATTTGAATTTCACCACTGGTGCACTGATATCCTGAATATTCCATACTGATAATTTGAGGTACTGTTTTACAAGTAGTTGGGATATTACTGTGTTTCAACATTTTCAGCCTTGATCTCAGTAGCTGCAGTTCTATATGACACATTCTTTTTAGAGCTACTTATTGAAAGTATACATCACTCCCAATTTTTTGCTGCTAATTATGTTGTGGGCTCCTTTATTTTTTCCCCAGGTGCTGTATTCAAATAGTGCACAAGCTGCTTTGCTATCAGAAAAAGTGCAGAGTGAGACTTCATTATACTTGGAGGGAACTCTGGTCAGGTACGTTTTTAGTCTTATCGTCCTAAGGGCTGATGTATCCTTCATAGAGTCAGTCTCATAGTTTTAATATAAGTGTTAAATGCAATGCAAATGTATACTACATTCCAGGACTTGACTGTAGGTGATTTCACCTGAAAACACAATTTGGAGAGTCAAGGAAAATAAATTAATATTTTAAAATTCTAGCTTTGTTTTTTGTTGGGTGCTAAGACTGTTTTCCATGTAGAGGAACCTTTTATGGGATCTACTGTGATAAGTTTCATATTTTAGAATTGAGATGCTGTAGTTGTTTCACCTCAACACAGAACTCCCATTTTGATAGCAGTTTTGTTAGTCTTTTTCTGTGTGTGTTTTCAGCATACTGAATTCTGAGTTCTAACATGGCAGGAGGAGAGCCATGTTAACGTATGGTGGCCAAAAAACTTTAGGAGCCTGGTAGCACATTTTCTAACTCATCCGTTTTTTGAAAAAGCATAAGATTTTATGAGCTGCAGTGAGTTGTAGTTCATGAAAGTTTATGCTGTTTCTTTAAATTGAAGAGTTGGAAAAGGTGCGATCAGCTTTTTTCTGATTTCGTATTCTGACGTTTTAATATGACATATTTTCTTTTTTCTTATTGTTGGCAGCATATTCAAAGATATGGAAAATGACAAAGGGATGCAAGCAGACTTTTGGGTAGCAATTCTGTCAAACACTATGCTCTGAATGGATGTTTTGCAAGTGAAATGGGAGATATTAAAACTTAATTCTCAGAGATTAGCATGTATTTTGGAAATGAATTAGATTGCAGCAGTACATTTATCTGGTCTCTTATTTTGTGTCATTGTTCCTTGCTATAAGTACAACTAACCATTCTGTCTTTATAAAAGTTTTCCATGACTTCATTAAGCTTTTCTCAAAAAGCCCAGACATCCTGCCCGTTTAAGGAACTGTGTACGTTGTACTTGTAATTTATGTTTTCAGTGAATTTCTTCCTGAAAGTGCTTTTCAAAAGCTTTGTTCTTAAAAATACTGTGGAAAGCTGGCTAGCAATTTCCTTATGGGAACTCTGTAAAAATAGATGAAACTGCTGCTATTTTCTGATCCTACATAAGTTAATTAATATTTCCTTTTGTGAATATTTCCTTTAGCAGGTTTCTGAAAGTATTCTGTGCATATTATTGGCAAGCTGTAGAACTGATGTTTGAACTGGATTTTCTGGGAACTCTATAATTGTTGCCTCTTACTCCCTGTTGCCCTCTGTTAGTTGCCTTAGGATAATGATATAACTGATAAGATGATGTTGCATCAGAGTTCACATCTCTAAATATTAGAGATAAAAAGTATACGATGTATCAGATAAATATAAGATGTGGAGCTGCTATATTTAATGTTACCTAAAGTAGTTTTTGCAGAATCTAATTCTGCAAAAGTTAAGTTAAAGCTAAGTAAATGTTTACTTTATTTAACAAATATGTAGGCAGTATAGAATAATGAAATAATAGGATTTAATAGCCATAGGACAAAAAAATCTGTATCTAGACAATTGGATGTAGATTTTCCTTTTGTGTCTCATTGTTGAAATTCATAGTAGTTTTCTGTAAAATACTGGATTTAAGTATTGATTATTTCATTTCTCTCTAAAAAGAAAGAATTGTGCTGGCTTTCTTCATAATTACTTAATTTCCAAAGTTCAAAACATTTCATAGCATTTGTACTGGAGTAATGAATGGATACAATTCTGATATCTTAGTTTCGCTCATTAAACAGTGGCCTAACACTGAATCATTGAGTTTAGTTTGGCCAAGAAGAATCTAGATCAGAGATGATTAAAGGTTTAGGTAGTGTTTTTTATTTTTTATTTTATTGTATATACTTTTATTCAAAGTGTGTGTGTGAATAAAGAATTTAGAAAATAACTAAGGTTGAAAACAGTTCCATTAATCACCCTGTTTAATTTCTCAGATCTGCTTCAAAGTTTTTTTTAATATTACCTTGTGCTGAGACATAAGTAAGTTAGTTATTGAGAAGAGGGCCTTTTTGGAATCTCATTTGTTTTCTGATCATCAAGGTATGCTTGTTAATGTATGTAGATCTTTTCTATTTATGCAGACTTTTAAAAATTGTATTTCTGGTGATATACCAGATTTATTTCTATTTATAGTATGTAAATATCAACTATTTTAATTTAATATTATACATTTTAGTAAATTATGTTGAATAACTATTGGTAATTCATTCAACATTCTTTGCCAGGATAGCCATAACTTTTTGGATTAATATATGAATGATAATAAAAGCACTTACCAAGGCATTAAAGAAAACAAAAATACAATAATTACAAATCAATGCAATACAGTGAAATTAGCTCAGACTCCTTTTAATAATACTAAAACAACTAACAAACAGTATATTTAAAATAATATCTCAGAACAGGATTGAGCACATATTCACCCATAATTTAAAGCTAATCTGAAACTGCAACCCATAGCAACCAGAACTCATCCTAAAACACTAATCTAATAAAAAAGATTTTTAAATGCCTCTTACAGGCTTGTTCAAGAACTATGGGGCTATATCCATAAAGAATTGGAGCCTGGAGACCCAAGAGGAAGGAACAGGAAGAAGGCTGTGTTTACACCAACTTAAAGAGAAAATTGTAGGGAGAAATAAAGACAGATATTTGTAAGAGATTGTGACTGGTAGAGGCCTTGAAACACAAGGACCTGTAATTTGGAATGGCTTAAATGAGGCTCTGTACCAAGATATGAGAATAGAATTCTGGACTAAAACAGGAGACAAGAGGAATCAGGAATATCTGCCAGGAAACTGACACTTACATATAAAACAATCAAAGTGTTTTACAATCTCCTCCATTAGAAAAATCACATGTTTATCAAGTAGAGGTTTATTCACATAATTGGGGGACTAGTCCATTGTTTTATTGTGAATTGCTTCAGAGCAACATTTAACAAATTGGAATAAATAAGCAATGTGTCATCATAGGAACTGTTTTGGCTAGTCTGACTATTGACTCTGATATTTTGTGCTGGCTTCTGTATCAGCAGAATTTCCAATCTGTTCTAATATTTCTCTGTCAGGAACACATATTTCTATTATTTTATGATGGGTGCTTTGCAAGACTGAGATTTATAGAAACAAGAAAAAGCAAAAAAGGGTGTAGACAGCATACAACTATTATAATGTTCGACTTATGACCACGATGGAGTTCTGAATTCTGGGTGTAAGTTGTTGCATTCATAAATCAAGGTACAACGTGCCTGGATTCAATTTTATGACCATTTTTATAACAGCCATAAAGTGAGTCACTGCAGTCATTAAGCAAATCCAGTATATCAGTAGCTAGTTTTTGCCATTTTTTTTAGCAAAACAGTTTTAAAAATGTTGTCATTGCAGTCACATGACTGCAGCATGCTGCAGCTGGTCTTGTGAGCCAGTTGCCAATCACTCAAATGTGATGATATGACCTTGAGGGTGTAATGTTGTAGTTATAAGGACAGGTTGTTCATTATTTTTGAAGTCCATCATAATTTTGAGTGGTTGTTGTGTAACCAGTTGTAGGTTGTGGGCTATCTGTAGTTTGAAGCGTTCTACATTGTGATATCTAGTATGTTTCATGTAATAAAAGCTACCTGTATATCAGATTATCAGTGGAATTACTGTTTCAGTTGCCTTTTACACGCAGCTGTCAAGTTTTACATTCATGTATATCCTTCTCTTTCACTTATCTGGTAATCCATAACAAAGGTACCTTTATCCTGCCTCCAAAGCTATATAACCAGATGTGTCTCAGCTTACAACATATATTTAGATGTGTTTTTTTAAACCAGTTCTCAACTTACCTTTGGCAAAATGTCTTTGCTTTCTTGATCAATTGACAATCAGCCTGCCAGTGTAAACTGTATCCTGTCCTAAATGCCTGCCATCTCTGTAGATCTGTGGTAAATTGTTCCTTGGGAAGGTTTGATGCCCTTATTCATAAGAAAGAAGCTGATAGTCTGATTTTTCTCCCTGTAGGATGTGGCTGATGTTTGGCCCAATTTGTAAATGATCCCCTCTCAAGCCAGTGTTTTTGAACACTTATATAGCAATTTGGAGTTCAGTGTAGCTAGTTCTTGTATCCCAAGAAATCCCTACTATTCCCCTAGGAACTACCTTTTAGTAGTAGTTGTCTTAACAAATGTAAATGCAAGCATTGAAATATTAACTTTGCAAAACATAGGGAAGCTATGTCATTATTGGGGCTTTAAAGATGTTCACAATTCCCTTATTAGAAAAAAGTTAATATTTATAATTACTCTTACTTGTTTAGAACGTTGAATTGATTTTATTTGTTCAATAGTTTTAGCATGAGAAACCTGCTGGTAGACGATGCTAAAAAGTTGTTCATTATAATAAATTAATTTGATTTAATAATTAACCTTTTTTTAGTTTTCAGAACTATTAGCTTTGATTACTGCTTGTTAATTCAATGAACATTTCTAGGTGATATATGCCCTATGATCTGAGTCATCCACTTTAATGTGATTACCGCATTATCTGTGAGGTCTTGCTCTATTTAGACTAAAGTGGACAAATTTTTAGAAGCATCATTTCATGTTTCGGCAAAGCTTAGGAATTTCAGGAATAGGTCTTAGATTTTTGCATTTCTTTCTTTGGATTTCGGGGAGTTCTATCTTTATTTTTGTTTTCCCCATTTCTCCACAGCTGTTTTAAACCTATATAAGGACTTTCAATTTTCATGTGTTTCTTGCCCTAGAGTTGCTAAAAACAATACCTTGCAATTTTTAAATAATTATTGTCATAAGAGAGAAAATGCAGTATTTAAACTTGATGCTTTCTGATTCTAGGCATATCTCTTTAAATGCTTGAAGATAATAGTTTAAATGGTCTTACTGCTGGCATAATCCAGTTGACATCCACGTCGGCTTGCTTCTTATGCTTTAGCTTCCTTCTCTTGACTTGGCGAGAGCTTAAAACAAATGCTATCACTTCAAGCA